CGGGCCAAAAGGTCATTTCTTAAATAGTACGAACCTCCCTTTAACACTCCCTTTAACAAGAGAAATTGGAATGATATGTTTCGGCATGATAAATAATGTTAAAACTAATCGTTAATCTATTTTCCGTACACGAAACTAAACAACTCCAAATATAAGGAAACATTGTCGTGAATTTATCAGTTAGATTTTCGGCTGATATGTTTACCGCTTACATAATGTACATTATTAAACATTTACGCAATATGTAAAAAGTATTTACCTTACCTTTTATACTCATATTGTAGATGTTAAATATCCTTAATAATTATCACAGGCAAATATAAAAATAATACCAATCCAAATTAATATCCTTTTGCATATAAGCTTGCATATATAATCAACTTGGAATACCAAAATTTAAATCGTAACGCATTGTGGTCTAAACGGTATCATAAATTATAAAATAAACCATAAATCAATGGACCTGTTGTAAGGCGAACACTGCATGGTTTCTGGCAATTTTGGGTCTTTGCGGCATAATGTAGTCTTAACCAATAAAAATAACAAAGTGGCTACGTGCGATTTTATTCTTTGATCTTGGATCCAAGGGACATTTCTGTTATTCAAACCAATCTGCACGAGAATGACAACATACAAGTTGACAGTTATCATTGATTTGGGGTTCATGTGCAATAGATTCTTACATCGAAATACAGTTATTCTTTTCTAAAATAAAACGAGTGCCTTGGATTTTTGCGTGGATTTGATAGCGGTTATAATTAACTAATATTCTCTTACACCGGAGACTTGTGTCGCGTTCATTTCATTTTTACGGTAAGTACGAACTTATGTCTGATTTGAAAGCGCTTTCGAACCCCGTTGCAAGTTCTATTTGTCTTATTTCTATTTGTAAGACCGGTAACCCAAATACCGTTATAGTTTGCAATTTAAAAGTCTATCTTTGCCGTGATTCGAGAGTAGTTCTTAACTATAAACTCATAATATAGTAAATATGCAAAACAATTTGAACACGGCATAAATATCTAAACTGTGTAATACATGTATAGTCTTATGCATACGTGTCCTTCAAAGTGTACTAGACATGCAGCTTTACATGACTGGTTGGAAATGTAACCGCATATATCGTGCAGAATATGTGAACACGCATGTTCTACTTCTAACTATACAACGTGACCTAATGCGTCCGTATTATTAACGAAAATATTCAACATTCATAACAGCGTGGCTGTATATCGTTTTGACATCGATTGTTTATGACAAATAAATACCGTTAATTTTGCATGTAAAATTACACCGAGGCCTATCGTGTCGCACGACTATCGTGGCACACGATAGCGACTGCTACACCGAGTTATTTATCGTGGCAATTTTCAACAAAAAACGACACGATAATCGTGTTTCATCAAAGCGTCGCGGCGGGCGTACTGTAACCGGAGCAGGACCCTGGGCCTGACTAGAATCGCGGGGCCCCTAACGCGGCGATAAGATTATTTCATATCCTTGTGAAGGCTGAAGGATAGCTCAGTCCCCGCCCTCGCGCCGCTAGATTGATTACCCAAAAACTGTCATCTGGAATTTGAATTTTCTCTCTTTTTGCCATGAACGGCGGGGTCTGGGCCCTTCAGGTCCATGGGCTTTGTTGATAATCTCCCAGCTTGGATTCAATCGGATTAAAAACAAGCCCATCGCAAAAATCATAAATGCTGTTGGCTTGTATTGACCTTATCCATTATATCCTCTGCAATATCTGCTGCGAATTGGATATCAACCCAGAGGAATAAACAAGCTAAATGTTGAGAAATGTTTAATTCATACAATGAATCTTTGTAATTACTGAACAAAGTTGATCGGTTTTTGGATTGATATTGTTTTTAGAGATTCAGCTTTCACAATATTGTAGTTTGCAAATGACAAGGGGGGTTGGATGGCCGAATGATTAGCATGTGCGTGCAGTATCAAGGTCTGTCATTGAATCAACTGGCGGGGTTTTGATTTCCCGCTTGTATGTGAGAAGGAGTAGGGTCGGCTGTCCAACCCCATGGGTTTTCTCAGGGTTCTCCGGTTTCCTCCCACTGTTAACGACCCCTACACGCAAGCGAATTATTGAAATAAAAATGAACCATATGTTAGTCCCAAAATAACCTAGTTTGTGTTGAGTGGTCGTTAAACCCCATTTCTCTCTTTCTCTCTCTCTGCAAATGACAATCGGACAATTTAAGGGTACTTATGAATCAGCCCATAGGTAAATCCAATTACATTTTGTGCACTTCAATAATCTTATTTGTTTATCTAACAAATCAACATTTCCTGCAGCATATATCTCAAACTGGTATGGCTAAATGGGTAAGACTCTGGCTCGCTAACCTGGAGGTCGGGTTTTTCGATCCCTGCATTGGCCGAGAAAGTTCATCCAGATTTTCCGGCGTGGTTCCCCCTTGTCAGTGATGCAGGACGGAGGGCCTGACAAGGACAGCTGCCTAGTCGATCGGATGGGACGAAAAACCAAAGTCCCGTGTACACATTGGCGTGCACGTAAAAGATCCCTTGGCAGTTGGAATTCGATATAAGAGTAGGCCGTAGTGCCGCTGTCCAGGCAAAATTTCCCTCATAGCACACTGTATGGCGTATGCCCGTCTCCATTAGCCCAGTTCGGAGCAAAACAGTAGGACGTTAAACCCCATTTCATTTCATTTCAAACTGGTATGATAATAAATATTATTGATTGTTTTTCTCAAATATGAGATTTTACTTGAATCTTATTTTTAATCTTTTAGATTAGACGCATTCAGTAACTGGATACATCAATAACACAAACTTATGGAAAAACAGCTACTTATTTATTTGAGCGAAGTTTCCAAGAGTATTTTTGTTTATTGGTTGTTTTGAGTATAGGGTGGGTTGAGTGGCCGAATGGTTAACTTGTGCGGGTTACATCACAAGGTCTGTGATTGAGTCAAGTGGCATGGTTTTGATTCCCCACTTGTACGTGACAAGGAGTGGGGTCACCGGTTTCCTCCCACTGCTAAAGACCCCTACGTGCAAGCGAATTAATGAAATAAAATTGAACCATGCGTTAGTCCCGAAAAATGATATAGTTTGTGTCGTGCGGACTTCAAAACTTATCTCTCTCTCTCTCTCTCTCTCTCTCTCTCTCTCCCTCTCTCTCTCTCCTTTATGTCCAGGCTTGCAATGAAATTCTCCAGCCGGTATAGACTGGCAATTACGACTGACTCAAGAGCCCTGGATTACCAACATGATCGAGCAATCTTTTTTTATCGCGTTTTGATATATTTCTGTTTATGTAAAATTTTAAACCAATATTTGTTATTACGTTAAATTGTACTACATACACGGTTTCATTACAATAGTTTTTGTATTTTGTACTGATGTTGGGGGTGAACTTATCATGCATGTTATGACAGCAGGCCAAATAATAAAACAGAATATTTCAAATACAAATAAAATGGTGATCCCTAGTAATACAGAGTTCATGAACTAGTACTAGCAATTCTCTTTAAACTTTTAGTACATGTACTTGGCTTATATGTAAATAGTGATTCCCTTTAATCCTTTAGAACTTTATACATGTAAATAGGAATTTTCTAAGTTTCCTGGAAAAATTTTGAGAAATGTGATCTTTTTGACATTGTATTTTGTCATTCCCTTGACCGCAGATTAAAACCACTTAAATCACAGAAGCAGTGCTGTCCAAAACTGTTAAAACCACAATATTAGTGTTAATTATAACCATTTTATTCCTTCTGACACTACATCAAAACCCTGTCATGAGCGGCCATTCACTCCCGCCAACCGGTCACCCACTTCCCGTCTACCGCACATGCTCACCCGAATAACTCACATTACATCATAGACATAATTGACATGAATGATTCACATTACATAAACACAGATAAATATTAACAAAAATGTTCAAAGCTCTTCATATTCATGAAATCTTGACGATGTGATGCAAGAGTTCTCAGTGGAAGTTTTAAAACTTTGTGAGCTGTTCATCAAGTATCCTATTGAATTTTAAAATATTTTGAAATCTTTGACCATTTTTTGCATAGTTGCTTGTATTATTTCATTCAGCCGAATGGTTCGACCGAATCAATCGCCGTCACAGTTCGCCTAGTGTGTCCATTGTCATTCGGCCAAATTTCTGTTCGGCCGAATGATTCGCCCGAATCAAACATGTTTGATATATTCGACTGAATTATATCGCCTACTATGTCCCCTTCGCCGAAGCATTCAACCGATAGAATTCAATAGCCAATCACCACTCATCGTCCGCTCATATCGAAAATTCACATGATTGAAGACATGGACACATGTTTAATCATGTGACGTGAAAGGTGATGTAATCGACTGGTGAATCGGGCCAAGCATTCGCCTAGTGTGTCCACCCATTCGGCCAATTGATTCAGCTAATGTGTCCACTGCTTATTATTTTTATAGCTTAGTACATAATATTTAGTCAGTCTGATTAAAATACAGATCTATATTTCGTTTTTTTATACTTTCGATGGCCTACGCTACATGAAAATCTGACCAGTTGTAGTGAGGGGTCGCATCAGGGGTGACACAGAGTGGCTTTTGACCCTATGACATCAGACATTTGATTAACTAATCAGCGTTGATGTTTCTAGTGTGTTACCCCCAGTTCCGTGCACCACACACCAAAAACTCTCTGTAACATACCATTTCATTGGCTAACCCCTCACATCATCCAGAACGCGAATTATTACCAAGTCTTCCAGATCCTAGTGTAGTAAAGACAAGTAAAACAAAATTTTGAACTATAAAAAACGAAACGAAATAGGATCTGTGTTCTAATCAGATTGATTTTCAGTGTGGAATTTACAATGTACATGTATGGCTTAGCTGCTGGTGGGCATAATTATGGAACTCGACTACCCTCCCCCCCCCCCAAATCATCCCCTTCCACACCACCACCTCACCACTACCACACCCCTATCTATGTTCATTTTCTGTTATAGGTGCTGGAGAAAACTTAGAAAATACCATGACAGCATTCCGACAGTAAATATGATTTTTAATTTTTAATAAATGTTAGCATTAGGAATAACTAGACACAAATCAAATTTTAATTATTTCAGATAATTAATTGTCTGATTGTTATTCTTGAAATTGTGCACGTGAAATAACGTGGTTTCGATTCCTCGCTTGAAATAAAATTGAACCATATGTTAGTCCTGAAATTACCTATTTTTTTTCGAGTGGACGCTAAACTCCATTTATCCCTGTCTCTTTCTACTCTTGATAAGTTTTTAGTGCCTTGTATGTAAATGCTTCTATCACCAACAAAAGAATAAATATGTGACAACCCTTGTTGACTTACATGTAGCTGCTATGGTATGGAGTCCATACCGGTACGGATGGGCACTAGTCGGCACTCTTTCATTCTATGGTATTACGATGTCATGCAATTTTTTAGGAATATTATCGACATAAATTTGAATACCGTACAGGAATTAAATATAAAAAATTACGAGGTGCATCTAATTTTTTTATATTACGTATGAATTTGAATATCTTGTTGACACGTGATACTTAATTGTGGTTTGAAAACGCCTGCTTAAATAACGATAAGAGTTATGTCCCTTTATTTTCGGGAAGAAAATGTCCGACAACTAAAATTTTGAAATCCCATCACTGGTATGGACGTACATGTATGTTGCGTAGCCTGACAAGGCAACCAATTATTATTATTATTATATTATCAATATATTTGCCATTCAGTTATTAAATATGAGGTACAAGATTTCACTGGTCGTTATCAAGCATACAAATTACTAATGAGGAAAAAATTGTGACAGTGTTATGTATAGGTATATTGAACAATTATACTGTTGCATTACTGCACATACTTCAACTTAAATTTGTGATTTATATGCTTGATAACATCCAGTGAAATCCTGTCGAAACGTGGTGTTTATATAATATAGTGATTGTTATCCATAGAACATGTGTTGTGTTAAATTTACTTAGTATTGTATATTTTTGTCCCCCGCCTTTCGAAGAAAGCAGGGGACTATTAAAATGGGTTCTTCCGTCTGTCTGTCTGTCTGTCTGTCTGTCCGTATGTCTGTCCGTCTGTCTGTCCGTCCGTCTGTCTGTCCGTCACACTTTTTGGGACACAATAACTCTCTTCCTAATTGAGCTAGAATGTTCAAACTTGGTGTATGTGTTTATTAGGTCAATGCCTTGATGGAGTTCGAAGATGAGCATTTTCCGCTTAGGGTAAGCAGAGATAAGCAATTTGATTGGTTGATGCTTTGGGACACGATAACTCTCTTCCTAATTGGGCTAGAATGTTCAAACTTGGTGTATGTGTTGATTAGGTCAATGCCTTGATGGAGTTCGAAGATGAGCATTTTCCGCTTAGGGTAAGCAGAGATAAGCAATTTGATTGGTTGATGCTTTGGGACACGATAACTTTTAATTGAGCTAGAATGTTCAAACTTGGTGTATGTGTTTATTAGGTCAATGCCTTGATGGAGTTCGAAGATGAGCATTTTCCGCTTAGGGTAAGCAGAGATAAGCAATTTGATTGGTTGATACTTTGGGGCATGATAACTCTCTTCCTAATTGAGCTAGAATGTTCAAACTTGGTGTATGTGTTGATTAGGTCAATGCCTTGATGGAGTTCGAAGATGAGCATTTTCCGCTTAGGGTAAGCAGAGATAAGCAATTTGATTGGTTGATGCTTTGGGACACGATAACTTTAGTTCTAATTAAGTGAGATTGATGAAACTTGGTGTATAGTTTCATTACAGTAATACCTTGACTAAGTTTGATAATGAGCATTTTCTGCTCAGGGTAAGCAGAGCGATACGCAATTTGATTGGTCGAGACTTTGGAAAACAATAACTCTCCTACTTTGATTGTCGAGACTTTGGAAAACAATAACTCTCCTACTTTGATTGTCCCCCGCCTTTCGAAGAAAGCAGGGAACTATTAAAATGGGTTCGTCCGTCTGTCTGTTTGTCTGTCTGTCCGTTCCGCTTATGGTAAGCAGAGATAAACAATTTGATTGGTTGATCTTCGAATTGAGTAAATGTTCATGCTTATTGTCCCCCGCCTTTCGAAGAAAGCAGGGAACTATTAAAATTTAATGACAGAAAGAAAACAGTGAACTTTGCACAACTTGCAGCAAGATGGAAAATAGACCCGTTGATACAACCAAACTCTAGATCTGTAGGCATAGAGCATGTTTTCCCCTTAATATGCTATAATTATTCCATCAAAAACATTGTATGCTTAGACTATAAGTAAAGATATACTGTTTGATTGTTCAATACTTTGTAAAAGATAATTTGTGATAAATTTATATGTGTCCTCTAATTATTTTCCTATTTCGGCGGGGGACATCAGCCTCACTGTTGGCTTGTTAGTTGTTCGGATAGGATAAAAACAAAGATTCTGTGTACACATAAGTGAACCCTTGGTGATTGGAATTTGATATAAAAGTAGGCTGCAGCTTCGCTATTCGTGCAAAATTTCCTTCATAGCACACTGCGTATGTCTGTCTTCATTAGCCTAGTCGGAACAAAACAGTTTAGTTTACGGAGCAATCTGGTTAAAACACAGATCCTATTTCGTTTTGTTTTTATAGTCTTTACTTCACTTGGATCTGGAAGAATTGTTATTGTTGTCATTGATGTGTTCTGAATCCTCCCACTGCAAAAGATCCCTACGCGCAAGCGAATTATTGAAATAAAATTAAACCATGTTAGTCCAGAAATGACCTAGTTTGTGTCGAGTGGCTGTTAAACCCCATTTCTCTCTCTCTCTCTCTGTAAGCTATTAGCCAATGAATAGATATCTGTTACGGCGAGCTTTAGGCGTGTTTTGCACGGAACTGTGGGTAATCCACAAGTAACATCAATGCTGATTGGTTAATCAAATGTCTAACGTCATAGGATCAAAAGCCGCTCGTATAACCTCTGATGTGACCTATCGCTACAACCGGTCAGATCTTCATGTAATGTAGGCCATCGAAAGTATAAAAAAACGAAATGAAATATAGATCTGTATTTTAATCAGATTGTTTTACGGAGCAAGGTTGATTTATTGATTGGTTTGTTGATTACTCAACACCTCTTGAGAAACCCAACACTCATTATCTGAACTAAACAGTTATAAACCCAACACTCATTATCTAATTTAGACAAAACAATTAAATACACAACAGTAGAAACCCAATGATTCTTAAAGTAGCTAAGTCTCTAACTCAATATCATCCAAAATCTTCAACATTGAAAACACAAATTATTTGTCAATTTATATCAACATTGATGCTGTGATCTTACCGGAAAAAGATGGGCTTCTGATATCCAATATTTAAGACAAAATAAACATTTTGCCATTGGTACACGAATCGTGTACCATAATGCGTTTCAGCCCCAGTTCTAGCAAGAGACTCGAGGAACGAGGCTAGACATATTGCACCAAACAAAACGGCATATGTAGACTGGAATAACCAGGCGCTAGAAATTTGCATTCGATTGAGACTGCAGGCTTATTTCGCGGAACATAACTGATTTGAAATTAGAGTAAAAACGGAAAGCATTGAATGTATATCAGTTTATATACATTCATATTACAGTATTATATGAGTTGCGACCCGCTTGTGTCAATTTCTAGGTCCCAAATCTTAGCGATTTAGCTCCTTTAATGGATTTGAACAGTTTTCCGTCAATGGTTTGAAACTAAACATTAAATGCCGAAACTGCTGCTAAAACAACACAACTAAATAATACATGTACCTGTTTCTCGAAATCTTAACTAAAGATAAAATCCAAATTTTAGTAGATACTTCAATTTTGATTGGTTAAGCACTAAAATCAATCTAATATTATCCAATCAAATTACTAAGATTTGGATTTTATCTTAGTAAAAATTTCGTGAAACAAGTCCCTAGGTTGTAGTGAGAGAGAGAGACAGAGAGACAGAGAGAGAGAGAGAGAGAGAAATGGGGTTTAACTCCACTCGACACAAACTAGGTCATTTGGGGACTAACATATAGTTTAATTTTATTTCAATAATTTGCTTGCGCGTCGGGGTCTTTAGCAGTGGGAGGAAACAGGAGGACCCAGAGAAAACCCACGAGGTTGGACAGGCGACCCTACTCCTTGACACGTACAACCAGGCCAGTTGACTCAATGACAGGCTTTATGATACAGTGCGCACGTGCTAACCATTCGGCCATCCAACCCCCCTGGGTTGTAGTGAGACTAGTGAGAGGTGATAACTTTTACTGAATGAACAACAATCCACCATGTACCACACTATTTTAAATGTTCTTTAAAAACAGGGGCCTAAGTGGGTAAGACGTTGGCTCGCTAGCCTGGTAGTCGGGTTTTGGATCCCCCACATTGGCCGAGAAAGTTCATCCAGATTTTCTGGCGTGGTTCCCCCTTGTCAGTGATGCAGGTCGGAGGGCCTGAGTGAGTGATGCAGGACAGAGTTCCTGACAAGGACAGCTGTCTAGTCATGAATCTAAAAGATCCCTTGACATTTGGAATTCAATATAAGAGTAAGCCTTAGTGCCGCTGTCCGGACAAAATTTCTCTCATAACACTGTATGGCGTATGTCCATCTTCATTAGCTCAGTTCAGAGCAGAACAGTAGGACTTTAAACCCCATTTTATTTCATTTCTTTAACAACATAATTTTTGAGAAAATGTTATTCAACATAATGCGCTTATCTCTAGTGAACAATTAATGTTTTTACATGTTTATAAACGTTATGTACTGCGGTTTGAGATTTTTTAATGTAAATTGCTATATGAAAAATTAATTATTATTATTAATCCGTCCGTTTCTAAAAATTTTAATTATACTTCAGGTTGCCTTTTACTTTAATATTTCAAACTTTTTCACATTTTCCATTCATTACAAATGAATCTGCACTAACGATCGATCGCCACTCAGTTAACTAAAATTGTGAATGAGAAGTTTTTGTTGTGACTTTCTTTGTGTTTGTGGAACTAAATAGAGACTCGTATAAAAGCCACTGCACAGTTATTAATTTTAAACCATTAGTTCTTTATATTGGTAAGTGTAAGTATTGATTTCAATGCTTAAAGATTTATTTTGTAATACAGGATGAAAAAAAAAATACAATACATGCTTTTATTTATCAAGGGAAAAATCAAAACCATAGATGAATAACAATACTGACATCTAATTTTAAAACCATTAAAGTGGCATTAGGGAGCTGATAAAATATAGACAATGAAAAGAGAGAGAGAGAAAAATGGGGTTTAACGTCCACTCGACACAAACTAGGTCATTTCGGGACTAACATATGGTTTAATTTTTTTATTTCAATAATTCGCTTGCGCATAGGGGTCTTTAGCAGTGGGAGGAAACAGGAGGACCCGGCAAAAACCCAAGAGATTGGACAGGCGACCCTACTCCTTGTCACGTACAACCAGGGATTCGAAACCACGCCAGTTGACGACAATGAAAAGAGACTATGCCTCGATTGTCATTACTACCATTATTACACTGTAACCCAGGTATCATTTAATCTTGTGAACCTAGCACTAATTTCTTTCACATTTGTTTAATATCAAAAATTTGTTTAAAAATTGGTAAACATCGTTTAAAATCATCTAATTTGTACTTGTGTCCAGTTTAAAGCTGACTGATTAATTTTGATACAAGTATTTAATTTCCTGACCACTGTTCAAAAATTAATTATTATACATCATTAATCAATTGGGTTGTTTATTTTTTAACAGTGATTTAGAAATTAAACACTCATTATCAAAATTGAATGGTCAGCCTTAAACTGGACAGAAGTACAAATTAAACGATTTATGGTGATTTTAAACAGTTTTTACAAATTTTTAAACAAATAAAGATTGGATATTAAACGAATATGAAAGTGCTAGATACACAAGATTAAATGATACCTGGGTTACAGTGTTACCATGATAAAGTCTTGATTATCCATTTTTACGGTAAACATATCGACATTATCAAAGATTAAATAAAGAGCTGACACTTCTCACTATAATAGTTAAAAAATAGACAATGAAAAGAGAATATGCTGATAATTTCAATCAAATTGCTCCACTCTGAGCCTAGATAACGGTGATAGAATTATAGTCTAGCCTTGATTGTGATTACTAATCAACTCTCGATGCCATCGGATGGTTGTTTTATTAGTAGGTTTAAATATGTTTTTTGTTCGATGCACTTACATGTACTGTAAAAATGGATAATCAAGACTTTGTTTATTATTGTAACAACAGTAGTAATGACGATCGAGGCTAGTCTAAAATTGAATCACTAATATCTAGGTTCACAGTAAAGCAATTTGACTGAAATTTAAGCATATTCTCTTTTCATTATCTATTTTTGAACTATTAACGCGAGAAGTGTCAGCTCTTTATCTAATCTTACCTAATGTCCCTTTAACACTATTATTTATTAGTTAGAAGCAAATTCAATTAAAATATAAAACGAACTTGAACCTATTGTAGGATGATTTTAAAATAACACAAGGTACAATTTTATGGATACACAATTACTGAGTTTAATAACTAAGCGACATTTCGACAATTACTAAATGCCAATCTAAGAAGATTTTAAAATAGAAGCTGAATATTATAGTATTGTCAATCTCTGACATCAGTACTTTATTATAAACTAGTGTTTTATTAAAACCTATATATATAGTATAGTAATTGTATTTGGTAAAAAACCAATTATAACTATTAAAGGAGCTAAATCTCTAACTGGATATTGTAGAGTATTTGTATTTAGTAATAAAACAATTATAACTATTAAAGGGGCTAAATCTCTTAACTGGATATTGTCGGAATGTTCAGAATTAAAAACACGAAATAGAATTCAATATTGGTCCATTTCAATTAATATTGATGCTGTTATCATGCCGTGAAAATATGAGATCCTAATATCCAATATTTAAGACACAATGAACATTTTAAAATCAGTACAATTGTCGTGTACCTTATGGTTACGAGTACCATTTATAATGAACAAAGACAAACATTAATAATGACTGATTCACAAACAACAAAATTATAGTTTAAAAAATGGGTAGAATGGACTAAGCAGACGTAAACAACTGTCGTTGTATGGGGGGTTGGATGGCTGAATGGTTAGCACGTGCGCACTGTACCATAAAGTCCGTCATTGAGTCAACTGGCGTGGTTTCGAATCCCCGGTTGTATGTGGCAAGGAGTAGGGTTGCCTGTCCAACCTCGTGGGTTTTCTCCGGGTCCTCCGGTTTCCTCCCACTGCTAAAGACCCCTACACGCAAGTGAATTATTGAAATAAAATTAAACAATGTGTTAGTCCCGAAGTGACGTACATGTAGTTTGTGTTGAGTGGACGTAAAGCCCCATTTCTCTCTCTCTCTCTGTCGTTTTATTTGGACTGTTCGCGTATTTCACCGAACATAATTGATTAGAAATTACAATATTCTTTTTTAAAAATGAATATGAATATGAATCACTTTATATACATTACTATTAAATTAATATATGCTTTTAGAGTCTAAAATTTAGACCCAATTTCATCTATTTTAAGGTTTAAAAGTTTAGAGCCATTCACCCTTTAAAGGAGCTAAATCGCTAATATTTTGGACCTAGAAATTGGCACAAATGAGTCGCAACACATATAATAATGTAATATGGATTTATATAAACTGTTTTACATTCAATCGTGTCCGTTTTACTGTGAATTGTCATCAGTTATGTTCGGCGAAATACGCCAGAAGTCTCAACCGCAAGTCAGTTTCTAGCGTCTGGTTATTCCAGTCAACACCGATATTATTTATTGCGCATGCTCTCCAAATAAGAATATGATATCACCGTTTGACATGACTTGTGGAATATGTCTAGCCTCATTCTTTGAGCACCTTGTTACAAATTGCGCTGAAACGCATTATGGTACACGATGGTACACGATTCGTGTACCAATGGTAAAATGTTTATTTTGTCTTAAATATTGGATATCAGAAGCCCATCTTTTCCAGGTAAGATCACAACACCAATGCTGATTTAAATTGCAAAAAAAATGGTGTTTTCAATGTCGAAGATTTTGGATGATATTGAGTTACGGACTTAGCTGCTTTAAAGCCACATATCATCAGGGGGTTGGGTGGTCTAATGTCTGTCATTGAGATGCGATTCCCTAGCTCGTACCTGAAATGAATAGGGTCGCGTGTCTAAAATTATGGGTTTTCTCCAGGTCCACTGGTTTCCATCCCACTGCTAAAGACCCCTATGCACAAGCGAATTATTGAAATCAAATTGAACCAGATGTTAGGCTCGAAATTAACTAGTTTGTGTCCAGTTTACTTTAAACCCTCCCTCTCTCTCTCTCTCTCTCTCTCTCTCTCTCACACATATCTCACTTGGGGGATTACAATTAAATCCCTTACAATATTGTTAGTGGCTTGTGAACTCATCCAAACGACTATCCTCTGATTCTTTCCACACCACTAACAAGGAAATCACGCCTGAAAATCACAATATGGGTACACAACTGATTCAAACTCATGACCATCCTTTCCAGAATTCTACAATTAAACTGTTAATTTCCTGGGAGATTGACTGAGGTGTTGAATGTTTTTATTCATGTGGTTTGTTTGCTTTTACAGTGCTGCTCGGCTTGGTACACAGATGTTAGAAATCGACTGTCATATTACTAGAGATGGTCAGGTAGTGGTTGCCCATGACAACAACCTCGAGAGATCATGTGGACAGACGATTAAAATAACAGAAACAGATTCTTGTGTAAGTATAGAAATATATATTATACCAATCTCATTAAAATACAGATATATATTTCGTTTTGTTTTTTATACTTTCGATGGCCTCTACTATGAAGATCTGACCGGTTGTAGTGGGAGGTTGTGTCAGAGGTCATACACGCGGCTTTTGACCCTATGATAACAGATATTCATTTAACCAATCGGCATTGATGTTTTTAGTGGGTTACCCACAGTTCTGTGCACCTTATGCCAAAAACTGGCTGTAACAGACCATTTCATTGGCTAATCTCTTGCATCATCCAGAACGTGGGTTATATAACAACTCTTCCAGATCCTGGTGTAGTAAAACGAAATTTTTAACTATAAAAAAAACGAAAAGAAATAGGATCAGTGTTTTAATCAGATTGATATTATACAGGCCTAATGAACTAGTACCGGTACGTCATATTTTGTGCTGAACATGTGGTCAACTGATTAAAAAAAACAAATCTGTGCTTGACCAAATGACAAACAGAACATGTTGGTGTTGGCCGAGAAAGTTCATCGAAGATTTTCTGACGTAGTTTCACCCTTGTCAGTGGTGCAGGACAAAGGGCCTGACAAGGATAGTTGTCTAGTCGTTTGGATGGTATAAATAAATGAGGTCCTGTGTGCATTGGATTGCACGTAAAAGATCCCCTGGCAGTTGGAATTTGATATAAGAGTAGGCTGTAGCACCACTGTCTGGGCAAACTTTCCCTCATAGCACACTGTATGGCGTAAGCCTGTCTTCATTAGCGTATGCCCTTCTTCATTAGCCCAATCGGAGCAGAACAGTAGGACATTAAAACCCATTTTATTTCATTTTTTTAAATTTTATTTCATGTTATAATGTTTGTTTTATGATTTATCAACAGGATTTACCCAAGATGAAAGGTAGAATGAAAGTTGATTTTGAACCAAGTAAGTACCCTTAACTCTTAACAAGAAACTTGGCGAGGTTGGATGGCCGAATGGTTAGCATGTGCGCGTTGTATCATAACGTCTGTCATTGAGTCAACTGGCGTGGTTTCGATTCCCCAGTTGCACGTGACAAGGAGTAGGGTCCTCTGTCCAACCTCGTCTGTACAGGTCCTCCAGTTTCCTCCCATTGCTAAAGACCCCTACTTGCAGCAAATTATTGAAATAAGACGAGAATAGACCTACCATGTTGAAACGTTAGATGTTAATAAATCAGTAATTGTTATTCCATAAGTTTTAGTGTGTACAGGAATCAGGACCAATCTCAATTATATTTTGGAGGATAAAACTACTTGATTGCGTTAAAAGCCCTTTAGGCCAAGCAACTAACTCAATATATGTGATACGTTTTCAAACAACTTAAACCCGTTGGAAATGGAGACAGGTGTCCCAAGCTGTATTATTGGGTGTCTGGATAAAACCAGACTTTTATTTTATAAAACGTGTGGGTGAAATTTACCTTTCATTATCAAGAACAGCATGTGGGTCATGCACATTATAGATCTCTAAAGGAACGGCATTAGATAAGCGGTTTTGACGTTCACATCCAAACGACTCAATATTTTGAGCTGAAATTTTGAGACATGGTAAATACACCCTTCCTCTATATTTTGGCGCTTGATTATCAAACGTACACAGACTTTTATTTCTGAGACTCTGTTAAAATCGGGATGGTCCCTTTAAAACATAACAATCATTATCTTTGTTCTGATTTAAAATTCCAATATGTCAAAATAACATCTATTCAATGACCTTCTTTTAATTAGTCATTAATTAAGATCCGTCAGAAACGTGGATGTCTTTCCTTCACCTATTTCTCATGGTCCTCCAACACATGTAGGCTAATTAATTGTTTTATTTTATATTTTAAATTAGAGGCTGTCAATGAATGGAGATAATGACCTTCTTTTAATTCATCATTAATTAAAATCTGTAAGAAAAGCAGATGTCTGTTCATCACATATTTCTCATGGTCTTGACACATGTAGGCTAATTATGTAATATAATTCATAAATACTCTCCATCTAGATCACTCCATTCTGGTTCCCAGTGTTTATTAACTGTTCCATAGTATAATCTGAAAACCTTTGGCTGCAGATCCATGGAACTGTCTTCCACTACATTTATGGACTGCTCCATCTCTAAATATCTTCAAACAAAAACTCAAAACTTTCTTGTTTCAGTGTTCATATTTATAACTGTTTCCTGTAAACTTACTGTTTGGAGTCTAGGCTTGATATAGTACCCTTATTTATTATTATTATTATTGTTTGTCATATTTTCAGATTTTGTATTAGAGGCGGGTGAGGATCGATCTCTACCATTATTAAAACATGTATTCGATGAATTCCCAGATTTACCTATAAATATAGATATAAAAATAGATAATAACGAACTTATAGCTAAGGTAAGTTTACAGAGATTTTCGATGTCAGACATCTGCTTCAATTAATTATATGAAGTTCTGTAGCCTGAAACACGTCCTGGAGTAAAAACACTATACCATCACATAAGGGGGACGATTTTCTTCGATAATGGCAAAAACACAGAAATCGCATAATCTGACCTTTGGAACAGTACTCACAATCTAAAACTAAATATTGCAGAAAAAAACATTTTTTTCAAAAACCGATGAATGTGATCATAAAATACAGTTATTTTTTGGTAAATCCCCCCAAAACGTTGAATTTGGTTTCTTGTTAAGTAAATTATTTCATTTTTCACCGTCCAATACAGGAATTATGTTAACTGTAAGAGGAAATTCCCTTATGACGACTTCCTTTAAATCAATCTATAGTTGTACGCGGAACACTGCACCACAAACCATGGCGTATTCTACTAAAAATCTTGAAATGTACATATTTTATTAATTAAGAGAGAGAGGGGGAGGGGGGAGAGAGAGAGAGAGAGTAAACGACCCTACTCTTGTCACTACAACCGGGGAATCGAAACCACGCTAGTTGACTCAATGACATACCTAATGATACAACATGCATGCGCTAACCAATCAGCCACCCAAACCCCCTAGTTGTATTATTGGTGTCTGATCTAGTCAAATTGTATAATAAAGAAGATATTTTGTTGTTGTGTTTTAGGTGTCTGATCTAGTCAAACTATATAATAGAGAAGATATTACAGCATGGGGTAATAGAAGTGATACAATCTGTAAAAAAATCTATAAAGAGGTAAGTGATTAAAATTACCACAACATCATGTTATTATACTCCCTGCAGTGTTTCATTTAATTAGACCTAATCCAACTCGACACTGCCGTAATGAAAGCAAATTTCTGTTCCAAATTATGACTGGTCAATAGTCCGATTAACAACCATTACTTCAGGAATATGTCATGCTATATTCGTAGACATTTTTTTTTATTTCATTTATATTTCATGGTCATTTGATAATGGGTTGTGGAATCTGAGACTTTGTGATTAAACAACCATGCATTCTCCATCTGCTGTTCATAGAGTTTTACTATACCACTGTTGTCTATCAGTTATAGAATCCTAATACAGTAGAATCTGCATTAAGCAGCCACCCAAGGGAATTTTCACAACTGACCGCTTAACGGGAGTGGCCTCTTAATAAAATCTCGTTGCTTTTTGTGCTGACATAAATTAAATATTACGCTTGGATGCATTGGAAGCGGTAAATTTGTCTGTCGCTGAATCTTGCGCCGAACGAAAATTCTGTACTCAAATCTCGGACATAACTTAACGGGAGTGGCCTCTTAATAAAATCTTGGTGCTTTTTGTGCCGACATAAATTAAATATTACGCTTGAATGCATTGGAAGCGGTAAATTTGACCGTCGCTGAATCTTGCGCCAAACGAAAATTCTTTACTCAAATCTCGGACATAACTTCTGTAAACTTGTCATTTTGTACCAACCTTCGATACTACTGTGATGCATTCGATAATATTTATCCATTTTTGTGAAGAAAATCGATGAATTCATTTTATTTTATCAAAAAAGCACATGAACAAACAAACATCGCTAATTTTATCACCTATTTACAGGGGGTGTAACTCTGTATCTAATATTATAGGAGGCGCTAAGAGAGATACTAGATGATCGTGACAAAACTCGGTACTTTTATTTTATTCAATCAGCATCAAATAATGTGTCGTTACGCGTGAAAACAATGATCAGGTTAGTCGTTTAATAAAACAAAAGATTAATTAACAGATAATCCCGGGTTGATTGTTATTTTTACAAATCTTTTTACCTGATCAGTGGGGGTCCAGTTAATTAACTACTACTCACGGGATTAGCGAGGGTGTTACAAAGAACGACAAAATGGTATCATTCAACAATGGCCGTTGAATTGGCGATGTTTTGTTGAATTTATTAGTAAAATAGTGACCGCTGGCCGCGTTAGAGGAGTGACCGTTGAATAAAGAGATGAAACAACAGAATTTCTACGGGGGGAATTTATCGTGACCGCTTACAAGGAGATGTCGCTGAATAGGAGTGGCTGCTCATACAGATTCTACTGTATATCACTGTTGTTTATCTGTTATAGAATCCTAATATACCACTGTTGTTTATCTGTTATAGAATCCTAATATACCACTGTTGTTTATCAGTTATAGAATCCTAATATACCACTGTTGTTTATCAATTATAGAATCCTAATATATCACTGTTGTTTATCTATTATAGAATCCTAATATATCACTGTTGTTTATCTATTATAGAATCCTAATATACCACTGTTGTTTATCTGTTATAGAATCCTAATATACCACTGTTGTTTATCTGTTATAGAATCCTAATATACCACTGTTGTATATCAGTTATAGAATCCTAATATACCACTGTTGTTTATCAATTATAGAATCCTAATATATCACTGTTGTTTATCTATTATAGAATCCTAATATACCACTGTTGTTTATCTGTTATAGAATTCTAATATACCACTGTTATTTATCTATTATAGAATCCTAATATACCACTGTTGTTTATCTGTTATAGAATCCTAATATACCACTGTTGTTCTCCATGAAAAGAGTGATTGTGCTGATACTTCTGTTCTATTCTGGACTTTTACCATTTGTACCATTAAAAGAATCTTTACTGGAAATCATTATGCCAAGTATAATATTAGAGTAAGTATAATGTCTATATATCTGGTCCAAGTATAATGTTTATATATATATAATAAATCTAGTCCAACTATAATATTAGAGTATGTATGATGACTGTATACTATATATATATAATAAACCTAGTCCAACTATAATATTAGAGTATGTATGATGTCTATATATCTAGTCCAACTATGATATTAGAGTATGTATGATGACTGTACACGATATAATAACATTCAATCTGATTAATACACAGATGGTTTCTCCTTGTCAGTGGTGCAGAACGGAGGGCCTGACAAGGACAGCTGTCTAGTTCTTCGGATGAGACGAAAAACCAAGGTCCTGTGTGCATATTAGAATGCATGTAAAAGATCCCCTGGCAGTTGGAATTCGATATAAGAGTAGGCGATGGTGCTGCTGCCCGGGCAAAATTTCCCTCATAGCACACTGTATGGCGTATGCCCGTCTTCATTAGCCCAGTATAAGAGCAGAACAGTAGGACGTTAAACCCCATTTCATTTCATTTCATTTAAAACACAGATCTGATTTCGTTTTGTTTTTTATAGTTCAAAATTTTGTTTTATTTGTCTTTACTACACTAGGATCTGGAAGAGTTGTTATATTACCCGCGTTCTGGATGGTCTGAGGGATTAGCCAATGAAACGGTCTGTTACAGCGAGTTTTTGGCGTGAGGTGCGCAGAACTTAGGGTAAACTACTAGAAAAGTCAACACTGATTGATTAATCAATGTCTGATGTCATAGGGTCAAAAGCCGCTTGTATGACCTCTGACACGACCTTCCACTATAACTGGTCAGATCTTCATGTAGTGTAGGCCATCGAAAGTATAAAAAACGAAATGAAATATAGATCTGTATTTAAATCGGATTGAATAACATCGAAACATTGATGATGTTATTTCTTACAGTGAGAATAAGTTTCCAATGAGTTTGAGTAGAAAACAGAGATTTTTGGTGAAATTCGTAGATATGTTGTTAATGAGACCAGCTCTGTTTAATCATCTGAACAGAAGAGGAATACAGGTAACATACTCCATCTATATTCACAGGGGCGCCGTTACAGCGCGAGGGACAGGGTACCAAAAGATAGAAAATTTTGAAATTTGTCAATTCCGAGACCACTGTTTAGGGCGCCTCTAGCATTCCAAATTCCAACATAAAACCCTTTAAAATGCATGATAATATTGAAAGAGACAAAAGCTGATAATGAGAGTCGGTCGAATCCCCGGTTGTACGTGACAAGGTGTAGGGTCGCCTGTCCAACCTCGTGGGTTTTCTCCGGGTCATCCAGTTTCCTCCCACTGCTAAAGACCCCTACGCGCAAGCGAATTATTGAAATAAAATTAAACCATATGTTAGTCCCGAAATGACCTAGTTTGTGTCGAGTGGACGTTAAACCCCATTTCTCTCTCTCTCTTTCGCGAGAGTCGGTTCGCGACCGACCAGAGAGCAATTACATATCTATCATTTAAAAAGGAATAGACTAGTATAAAGGTAGAAAACTTTCATCATTAGGGCATGGGTATACATGTATACCCCAGAAAAGGGCAGGGTACCATTTGTATACCCTGGTACCCTGGTTCAGGCACCTCTGTATATACAGTGGACTCTGTCAGTTCTGACATCATACAGGATCGATACAATATGTCAGATTAGACAGCATGTCGGAATACTCAATTGCCTCAATTATACTGGAAGTATTATTGTACCTTTGAATACCGAAGGGGGGGTGGATGGCTGAATGGTTAGCAAGTGCCCGCTGCGCTGTATCATACGGTCTGTCATTGAGTCAACTGGCGGGGTTTCGAATCCCCGGTTGTACGTGACAAGGAGTAGTGTCCCCTGTCCTACCTTGTGGGTTTTCTCTGGGTCCTCCGGTTTCCTCCCACTGCTAAAGACCCCTACGCGCAAGCGAATTATTGAAATAAAATTGAACCATGTGTTGGTCCCGAAATGACCTAGTTTGTGTCGAGTGGACGTTAAACCCCATTTCTCTCTCTCTCTCTCGAATACCGAAAGTTTTATTATAATGTACCCTCGAATACCAAGAACTTAAAATATGATAACGCTTTCTGTACATTACCCAGCGTCTTAACCACCTTGGCTCTGACATGCTAATGAAGTGTGCTATAGGGGACCTCTGATTTTTTGTACACCCGAATGACTTAACACAGTTTACTCCTCGGCCCTAGCACCGACACCACTGACAAGAGGAAACCAACACCGGCAAATCCCAAGAAACTTTCTTGGCCAGCTCCGGGCATGAAGCCGACAACTCCTAGTAAGTGACCAAGCGCCTTACTCACTGAGCCACTGCACCTCGTCAAATTTTAGAAGTACAGCAAAAAACATATTGACTGTGAATTCCTCAAATGAGAAGTGGTATTAGGTGTTCTAGGAGTGATTTCGTTGGTCAAGAAGTTCATCAGGATTTAGGGGGGTTGGATGGCCGAATGGTTAGCGTGCGCGCGCTGTATCATAAAGTCTGTCATTGAATTGACTGGCGTGGTTTCGAATCCCCGGTTGTACGTGACAAGGAGTAGGGTCGCCTGTCCAACCTCGTGGGTTTTCTCTGGGTCCTCCGGCTTCCTCCCACTGCTAAAGACCCCTACGCGCAAGCGAATTATTGAAATAAAATTAAACCATATGTTAGTCCCGAAATGACCTAGTTTGTGTCGAGTGGACGTTAAACCCCATTTCTCTCTTTCTCTCATCAGGATTTTCCGGCGGATTCCTCCTTGTCAGTGGTGCAGGACTGAGGGTCTGGCAACCAGGGCTGTCGGTAATTTTTCACAGATGATTAGCAGCACTGCTAATCAAAATGTTCAATTTTGCCAAATTTGATTAGCAAATTTAAAAATTGATTAGCAGTTTTTCAGTTTCAACATAATAAAACACCAAAATAACAAGACTATTTTAATTTTAATTTATAACAAATGATTAGATTTCATTCTTAAGATTTTTTTAGAATTTTAGCACTGCTACATGTAGCTGTGAACATTTCTGAGTTAGGCCTTATGTCTGAAGCCAATTCTTGGCAGTGGCTTCCGAAGTCCCACTCATTTTAATTCTTCGTTAGAAAACAATTTCGTCTGCTTTTTATCGTGTGTTACTATTTTTGTTCTATCGGACGCACACAGTATTTTACGAATAATCTTGATTAACTACACGCACAATATATAAACAATAATTTTTTACGGGAATTCTTACATTGATTTCTCATTTTACAATACGTTTACACGTATTTATTTTTTATATTTTATTTACAATACGTGGGGGATACACTGAATTTATTTTTTTTCAAATTGAATACTGATATAATTACTCGAAATTGACATGTCTCGCAACATGAGTGGTACTACTTGATTCCCGATTTCCGGTTTAACAGTCACAATAAATAGAATTATGTCCCTGTATTATATAGTACAATGATATATTATAATGAATTGAGTCTGGGTAGTTCGAGAAGAAAATGTCACACGGAGAATTCAGTTTTGTTTATAAAATTTATTTGATATTTTATACACGTTGAAAGTGTTGAGAAATGTGGATAAATCTTCGTGTCAGTATCCAAAATGACAGGCATATTAATGATACTGCGAATCAAAAACGTTAGATTTTAATTTTTGATTAGCAACGGACAAAATATGTATCGCAAATTGCGCTGCGATACTGGTTGTCGGCAACCCTGCTGGCAACGGACAGCATATAGTCGTACAGAAGAGATGAAAAACTGAGGTCCTGTGTACGCATTGGTGTACACGTTAAAGATCCCTTTGCAGTTTGAATTCAATATAAGAGTAGGCCATAGCGCAGCTCTCCTGGGAAAATTTCCCTCATAGCACACTGCAGTGTATAGCGTATGCCCATCTTCATTAGCCCAGTCAGAGCAGAACAGTAGGTTGTTTAACCCCATTTCATTTCTCGGATTGATAATATTGATTGATTGATATTGTTTTCTTATTTTAACAGACGTACATCTGGGTGCTGAATTCAGAAGAAGATTTTGAGAAGGCGTTTAAATGTAATTCTACGGGGGTCATGACAGATTTTCCTACAAAACTAAAAGCATATTTAGATAAACATCCAGAGTTCATGAATGTATGATAATCGTATTTTATTTTAATTATTTTAATTTAATGATGTGGATGTGTAACTCATATGTAACTCATATCAGAGGTCGTTTTTCTTTTCTTTTTTTTAAAAACCTTTTGACTCCACTAATTTTCCCCCTAAAGATACATTATGTAAGATTTAGATAAAGAACTGTCCGTTCTTGCTATAATAGTTCAAAAATAGATAGTAGATAATGAATAAATTGAAAATTTCATTTAAATTACTTTATTCTGGTCGAAGTTATGAGTATTTAGATAAAGAGCTGTCAGTTCTCACTCTAATAGTTCTAATAAGTCATTAAATAGCAATCGTATTTAAATCCGTTTAAATCTCTGTCTTGTCATGTGAATTAATGTCTAAATAATTTTTATAACATTAGAATCCAAAATAAAAACCTGTAATTTATCTCTTACATAATGTATCTTTAAGTAACGTGTAATTCCACATCATTGTGTCATGTGTTGATCTCAATTTGTTCCATGACCAGACAAGTATAGTACTTCGCCGACGCAAAAATATATTAATAAATAAAAAATATCTCTAATATTCAATAAATAAAAGAGATGTCATATTTAATATAATAACCACCCATCTGTCAGTGTTTATTTTAAAAATACAATTAAAGCTTATTCTCCCATACTTATATAAACATTATTTGCTTGTGTAACCCCTTTAGTATTGATGCATTTACATGTAAAAGAGTGATATTTTTAATGGAGAGGGATGAAACTTGGTGTATAGTTTCACTACCAGCTACTTCAAAACCTTGAGTTTGATCAGGAGCATTTTCTGTTTAGGCTAAGTTTAGAAGATCAGTTTGGATTGCTCGATACTTTTCAAAAAGATAAATGTGCAATTAATTGATATGTGTCATGTATTTTTTTTTGTGATTGCGGTTGTGGCCATCAGCCTCATTGTTGGCATGTTTAGATTTAGTTTCGTACTTAATTTTGGAACTGCCCGAAACTACTGCTTCCTGTAGTCATCGAACCAGTAAATATGGTTTAATACGAATCTGGTCGGTTTGAAGTAGGAAGCAGTAGTTTCAACTGTTCCAGGCACGAAGATGAAAATATATTAAGTCACATATATTTTATTATAAAACTAAACCATCAAGGTACTCTGAAATAAAATTGAATTTGTCATAAATGGTTTGAACACTGATGGATGATTAATATGTTGAATATGACAGCGGAACTAAAATTTTGTACTGAGCTGGATGATTATCTGGTCTATCTCCCACAGACGTGCGTTAATCTTGAATAGGTAATGTGTAGGGTGACTCAGTCGTGACGCCACGGTGATGCAGTTTAAGACATACGCAATATGTACGTCAGATGACGCAGTAATAGGTAGTGTGAAGGGTGACTCAGTCATGATGCCATGGTGATGCAGTGTAACACATACGCAACATGTACGTCAAATGACGCAATAATAGGTAGTGTGTAGGGTGACTCGGTCGTGATGCCACGGTGACACATACGCAGCATGTACGTTAGGTGATGCAACAATAGCATCACCCCTTCAGTTGCACCAAAAAACTTTGCATATCTGACTGCAGTTTTGCATGCATCACTTCTCGTAACACTGGATTACTCATAAAAATATTTATATATTTCTATAGTGTTTGTATTTTTGTCACCTTTGCGGTAACACAACTTTTAAAAAAAATGGCTAAGGTTTTGTGACACCCCTGCGGTATAGTTATGTCTCCCAACTACCAACACACGCCTTGGGCACATTGACCTACACAAGGTGGTGGAAGGTGTTACACAGAATGATGACGCACTTGTGGGAGTCAGACTTTAGGATTAATAATAGGTTTCTACGTTTGTGTGAATTAATGATATTCATTTATTATTTAATATTTCAAAATGTGTGTTTGTCTTGTCAACTTGAAATTGTATATAACCCTATAACTTCAGTTGTTCGATTAAAGATACATGTGCTTTCCCCCTTGTCAGTGATGCAGGACGGAGGGCCTGACAAGGACAGCTGTCTAGTCATTTGGATGGGACGAAAAACCGAGGTCCCGTGTACATATTGGCGTGCACGTTGGAATTCGATATAAGAGTAGGCCGTAGCGCCGCTGCCCGGGCAAAATTTCTCTCATGGCACACTGTATGGCGTATGCCCGTCTTCATTAGCCCAGTTTAGGAGCAGAACAGTAAGACCTTAAACCCCATTTCATTTAATTTCATTTAAAGATACATTATGTAAGATTTAGATATTTCATTCAAATTACTCTGTTGTGAGCAAAGTTATTAGCTGTTGAAGGTTTGACAAGACGTGCAATAATTTCAACCACCGTACTGTTTGTTCGAAGCTAAGTCTCGCTCCTCCATTTTTAGCTTAAATCAAAATATGACTGAACTGTTAAAAATTTCTACCCACAATAATAATTTGACGCAAAAGACCATTCGATTGGCTAATCCCTCATATCATTCAGAATACGGGTTGTTTAGCATTTATTCCAAATCCTTATGTAGTAAAGACACGTAAAACAAAATTTTGAACTATAAAAAATGAAACGCAATAGGATTTGTGTTATATAACAACTCTTCCAGATCCTAGTGTAGTGAAGACAAGTAAAACAAAATTTTGAACTATTTAAAACAAAACGAAATAGGATCAGTGTTTTAATCAGATTGAATATATATATATATGAGCAGTCTCCTGTATGGATATTGCGCAATATGAATTGACTATTATTATTATGATTGTATTTTTATTTTTAACTTATTATTAGACATTTATTTATATTTAATAGAACAAGTCTCAAAATATTGCTTTATGTTGTAAGTAATTTATTCAAATTGTTTTAGCTGAGCTGTTGCATTATTTTAAATAGAGTTGTTATTTTGGGTATTACCCAACCAGGTGTATTGATGTGTTGATTGTCTCAGGTGCATCTCTCCTGCAGCCTCAGGTGTCAGATTACCTGAGGCTGCACAAGAGTTCACTAGAGACAATAAACTTGACATATGAGCAAAGTTTTAGCAATGATTCTCTAGTCGTTAGTAAACACAATATGGACATATATACACAATATGGACATACTTAAACAATATGGATGTATATACACAATATGGACATATATACACAATATGGACATATGTACACAATATGGACGTATATACATGACATATATACACAATATGGACGTATATACACAATATGGACATACTTAAACAATATGGATGTATATACACAATATGGACATATATACACAATATGGACATACTTAAACAATATGGATGTATATACACAATATGGATGTATATTCACAATATGGACGTATATACACTATATGGATGTATATACACAATATGGATGTATATACACAATATGGACGTATATACACAATATGGATGTATATACACAATATGGACGTATATACATGACATATATACACAATATGGACGTATGTACACTATATGGATGTATATACACAATATGGACGTATATACACTATATGGATGTATATACACGACATATGTACACAATATGGAGGTATGTACTCTATATGGATGTATATACACAATATGGACGTATGTACATATGTATAAGTTTGTGTTGTGTTTAATGTGAGCAGTTATTAAAATTCTGCTTAAATAATTGTTTGATACAAGTTGGTGTAATATTGATACTTCTTGATATTTGTTCTTAACTGGTACTTACACTGGAACTTTTCTTGATACTCCACATTTACCATTACTTTTTTTGATACTTCACGTATACTGATACTCCCTCTTCACATATCTTGATACTCTTCTTGAGACTCCGTCTTCTCATATACTCTTCTTGAGACTCCATCTTCACATATACCGATACTCTTCTTGAGACTCCGTCTTCTCATATACTCTTCTTGAGACTCCATCTTCACATATACCGATACTCTTCTTGAGACTCCGTCTTCACTTATACTCTTCTTGAGACTCTGTCTTCACATACTCTTCTTGATACTCCCTCTTACCTATACTCTTCTTGATACTCCCTCTTACCTATACTCTTCTTGATACTCCCTCTTCACATATGCCGATACTCTTGCAAAGTAACGTGACGGGAATGTGCATATATATATATATATATATGTATATATATAGAACAACAATTTATTAAGAAGTATCACCCAAAACTAAATGCTGCATAATGATTTGATGTTCTAAAATAGTTATATTTGATATTATTATTGTCATGCACATGTATGTATTTAGGATATAATTAAATGCCTGATCATCCCTGTAGTGTGTAAAAGAGCTAGCTAAGATAGAATTAGTTTTTTCTTTCTAAAACTTCATATTTCTATATACATGTATATATGTTATAACATCTGGAATTTTGGGTTAGATCCTGTCATAATAATCACGCTTTCCTTGAATAATTTGGGCATTTATTGTATTGAATATGGTAATTTTAAAGCCATTGTTAATTCATTATGGTGCCATTTTTTGTACAAATATGCTGTGGTGTATTTTTATTTCCGTAAGTGATAAAGCATTTATAATTATGTATGTACATATATGCTATGGTGTATATTTATTTATATAAGTCATAAACCATGGGTGTTGTTTCATCCTTATATACCATGGATGTTGTTTCACCCTATAGGGGGTCACGGTGGCTAAGTGGGTGAGACGCTGGCTCACTAGCGTGGAGGTCGGGTGTTCAATTCCTGCATTGGCCGAGAAAGTTCATCCAGATTTTCCGGCGTGGTTCTCCCTTTTCAGCGATGCAGGACAGAGGGCATGACAAGGACAGTTGCTTAGTCGTTTGGATGGGACGAAAAAACGAGGTCCTGTGAACACATTGGCGTGCACATAAAAGATCCCTTGACAGTTGGAATTCGATATAAGAGTATTGCTGCTGACTGGGCAAAATTTCCCTAATAGCACACTGTATGGCGTATGCCCGTCTTCATTAACCCAGTTCGGAGCAGAACAGTAGGACGTTAAATCCCATTTCATTTCATTTCACCCTTATATACCTGTCATGTCCTTCGAAAGGTGGCAAACATCCTAACAGGAATATGCTCAATCGGACATCAAGATATGGTGAATCATATTCAAAATTCCCAAATATTTTTACTGTACTGTGGGAATTGGGTATGAAAAATAGGGAGAAACAACAATTGTTTTTTGTATTAACGACAAGACACATGGAATATTCGTAGATGAAGTCGATTAAAGGGAATTGAAGCATATTAAGCTATTTTCTTAAAGCTGATAAACGACTTCGGGAGACCTAATCCTGTCCTCAATTAACCCCATCTAAAAAATGTCTGATGAGCAAAATACTGAAACAACATCCCTGATCATAAAGCATTTATAATGTATTTTGTTCATATATGTTGTAGTATATATCTATATCATTAGGTTGGTATATATACTTATTACTATAAACCTGTAAAAAACAATTATAATTCTACTTGTGTGAGAAGGGTTGGATGGCCGAATGGTTAGCATGCACGCGCTGTATCATAAGGTCTATCATTGAGTCAACTGGCATGGTTTCGATTCCCTGGTTGTATGTGACAAGGAGTAGGGTCGCCTGTACAACCTCGTGGGTCCTCTGGTTTCCTGCCACTGCTAAAGACCCCTACGCGCAAGCGAATTATGGAAAAAATTGAACCATATGTTAGTCCCGAAATGACCTGGTTTGTGTCCAGTGGACCCTAAACCCATCTCTCTCTCTCTCTCTCTCTCTCCCTCTCTCTCTCTCTCTCTCTCTCATTTATTGTTTGTGAGCATTCCATATCTATTTCTAGTTGATGTAGTTTTGTGATACAAACCTTTAGAATACAATGGTGTATCTTCAAGACATGTTAAAATGTCTTGTCTTGGTTAAGCGGGGGGTTGGGTGGTCGAATGGTCAAAGGCATGCATATTAGATCATAAGGTCTGTCATTGAGTCAAGTGGCATGGCTTTGATTCCCCGGTTGTACGTCACAAGGAGTAGGGTCGCCTGTCCAACTTTGTGGGTTTTCTGCGGGTCCCCCAGTTTCCTCCCACTGTCACATACAACCGGGGAATCAAACCCACGCCAGTTGACCCCATGACAGACCTTATGATACAACGCGTACATGCTAACCATTCAGCCATCCAACCCCGCTAAATTTATACAATGGTAAAATTAATATGATAAGAAACCTTTTTAAATAATTAAAATGGCATGTATATAATGTATCTATTTTCTGGCTACTGGACCCATGTGATATATTTATGATATTTTTTATAGTTTTAATTAGATAACGCAGGGTAATGTTTTCAAACAAGCTGCAAAAACTTCATTCTGATTAAAATACAGATCTATATTTTGTTTCATTTTTTTTATACTTTCGATGGCCTACACTACATGAAGATTTAACATGGTCGCGTCAGGGGTCATAGAGCGACTTTTGACCCTGTGATGTCAGACATTGATTAATCAATCAGCGTTGACGTTTCTAGTGGTTTACCCACAGTTCCGTGCATCGCACGCCATGAAGACGCCATAACAGATGGTTTCATTGGCTAATCTCACACGCTATCCAGAACGCCTGTTATATAAAAACTCTTCCAGATCATAGTGTAGTACAGACAAATAAAACAAAATTTTGAACTATAAAAAAAAACGAAACGAAATAGGATCTACGTTTTAATCAGATTGCAAATACTTCATATAATCAAAAGAAGTGACAGGAAGAAAAACTTGAGCTTTCGTTTCCAACAATAGTTCCATTTTCATTTCCTGTCATTTAGTGAGCGTTTTCAGTGTCAACACTTAGGTTGTCATATTTTTCTAGTTGTTGCCTGGCAACCCACTTTTTAAAGATTCTAATATATGAACATTATTAGATGTCTACTAAGACCAAACCAATTTTAGTTTTTGGTTCTTTGGGATCATGATTGGGTAGTGTGGCCGGCTGTGAGTGATGGGTTTTTAAGAAGAAAAACAAGAAATGGGAAGAGAAACTTTCATAATTGATCCCCAATCAGATTACAATACAGATCTATATTTCGTTTTGTTTTTTTATACTTTCAATGGCCTCCACTACATGAAGATCTGACCGGTTGTAGTGGAAGGTTGCGTCCGGGGTCATGCGAGTGGCTTTTGACCCATTTGGTTAACCAGTCAGCATTGATGTTTCTAGTGGGATATCCACAGTTCCATACGCCACATGCCAAGAACTTGCCACAACAGACCGTTTCATTGGCTAATCCCTCACATCAACCAGAATGTTGGCTATATAACAACTTCTCCAGATCATCCTAGTGGGATACCCACACTATCCTGCATGGTATGTAAAAAAACTCCCCAATAACAGACCGTCTCATTGGCTAATCCCTCACATCAATCAGAACAGGGTGTTTTAAAGACTAGTAAAACAAAATTTTGAACTATAAAAAAAACGAAATGAAATATGATCTGTGTTTTAATCAGATTGAATTGATCCCTGAAGAACTGAAGGTGAACTTGATGTGGCCTTTATTGTGAATGTCTCTGTTTAAGAACTTTCTATGCTTTGTTGATATTAGACAGTTATTTATTTTTATATATTATGAATATTGTTTGCTAAAAATGATTATTAAATGCTTAATTATCTTTCTATTGTTGTTGGGTTTTTTTTGGGGGGAAATAATTTTTACCTACAAATACGTCAAACGCCTTTATTTATTTTTCCAATACATAAAAAAAATGTTTTAGAATTTAATTTGTCGCAGGAAAAAAGTTAATATTTCTGGCTCATTAAGCCGCATCGATGTCATCCTTATCAGTGATTGTAGCGGCCTAGCAAATATTCACTGCGGATCAGTGTGCTACACTACATGAAGATTTGACAAGTTATAGCGATAGGTCACGTCAGGGGTCAAAAGACCGACTTACATGTATGACCCTATGATGTCAGACATTTGATTAACCAATCAGCATTTATGTTACTAGTGGATTACCCATACAGTTCAGTGCAAAACAGTTGGCTTATCCCTGACACCATTCAGAACACGAGTTAAATAACAACTCTTTCAGATCCAAGTGTAGTAAAGACAAGTAAAACGAAATTTTGAACTATAAAAACGAAACGAAATAGGATCTGTGTTTTAACCAGATTGTAAAAACGTATGCAATAGTTGGGATCTATAGTCAATATGGCATGAAAATAAATAATAAACACCCGCCCACGATTTTGAGGTAATAACTCAAACTCAGCAGTCGAGTATCGACCCCCTAAAACTTGATTATTATAATATATGTTTATATCATTTATATATCTTGCTTTAGGGAAGCCGATTTATATAAGCCTTTGGCTTGTTTTTGTATCCTGTGAATAAAATAATGTTTAAATAAACTAGACAGTGACCCAAACCCTGGTGGTCAGACCAGATTCAAAGACACTTGAACTGACCACATCGAAGCCAAGCTTTCTGAAGAAAGCGTAATCAGGCAGGCAAAGGAAGAGAACTGACAAACCTCTGTATGTAACAAATGAAATGGGATTTAATGTCATACTGTGCTGCTCCGACTGGCTAATGAAGACGGGCATACGCCATGCCGAGTGCTATGAGGGAAATTTTGTTCGGGCAGGGGCACTGTGGCCTACTCTTATAACTCCACAGCGCAAAAATCAATGGTCGGATGTATAAGTGGATAGAAGACTTTCTAAACAAAATGGAATTCAAAATGGAAAACGGAACTCCACAAGGGTCCGTCACCAGCCCAATCCTATTCAACATTATGATAAATGACCCTCCAAGCTGTGGAGGGAAGGATACTGAGTCATCGCTATTCGCAGACCATAGCTCCTTTTGGAAAGCATCAAAGGACAGATAAAATCAGACATTCGTTGCAATATACACTGGAACGCGTTTCAAAATGGACAAATGATTGGGGTTTCAAAATATCAGAGGGGAGGACAGTAGCAATGAGGTTCCATCGAACAGATAGCAATAGGAAAATTGTCTTAAATCTGAACGACACAAAACTAGAATTCAAGTTAGAGGCTAAGTTCCTTGGCATGACGTTCGACTCATGATTAACACGGAAGCCACATATCGATAGCATCGTTAGTCGCACACCAAAACCCCTCAACATGATGAAATACATCAGAGGGACACAATGGGGAGCCGATCGATGTACACCTACGCTATAGAGTACTCATCCGCTAGGTAATCGACTACGGGTGTTTGGCTTATGCTAACGAAGGTGACCGTCACTTGAGCAGGGTAGATAAAATGCAGAGCAAAGCCATAAGGCTAGCATACTCCTCGCATGATTAGACTTAATACTACTCAACACTGACGTAATGAAAGCAAATTTCTGTTCCGAATTATGACTGGTCAATAGTCCGATTAACAACCATTACTTCAGGAATATGTCATGCTATATTCGTAGACATTTTTTTTATTTCATTTATATTTCATGGTCATTTGATAATGGGTTGTGGAATCTAACTGCGTAACAATATCATTCGGGTTTAAAAAGAGCTCCAGTTATGTTTAAATAACGTTATGTCATGACTCGCGAAATTTATTATGCCCAATTAACCAGTGCATAGCAGAATATTGCAGAAAAACTAATTGCGTGGCAAACGAGGCTATCACAAATGGATACAATGTTAACAATTCTGTTTGGAGACAAACAATACTTTCACGTTTTAATACCTTAAATCACTGTCCAAAGATTTAGGGAAGACCCCCTATTAAACGAATGGCTGTCATGGTGCTGTACTTACGGGGGATTTGATTGAACGGCTCATTTTAAACAATTCCAGCATATTTAATGAAAATCAATGAACTCTGTAGAGTGAGTATGGTAATATAATCTGGATCAACAATTATATAAGTCTGAAGCCATAACGTTTACAAAGAACAATAAAAATCAATTAGAGACCAGTCTTACCTTAATATGAACTATTCTAGAATATTTAATAAAAATCAATGTAAAAGAGAGGGAGAGAGAGGGTTTAACGTCCACTCAACACAAACAACGTCATTTCGGGAATAACACATGGTTCAAAATATTTTTTATTTCAATAATTCGCTTAAAACCCACGAGGTTGGACAGGCAACCCAACTCCTTGTCAGTACAATCAGGGAATCGAAACAAGGCCAGTTGACTCAATGAAAGACCTTATGATGCAGCGTGCACAAGCTAACCATCCGCCATCCAACCCGCCCCCGATGCGAGTATGAGTGTGGATGGACAGAAGTGACGCTTATACTCTACATTATCATCTGGGCGAATAATAAAAAAGGCAATAAACTAATAAAATGATTTTATTTTGATATCATGATTACATGAAGTGATTGATAGTTTTTCAAACTTTAATGACAAAAACAGCAATATTATTAATTAAACAGCCGAGTACAAAACAGTTTTGCAATATTATTTAAACAGCCAAGTACAAAACAGTTTTGTAATTTTTTATCATACAGTTTTTAAATTCAGGGCATATCTTATTAACACTTTCACTGATGAGTGTAAAGATCTGTTTTTACATCTGGAAGTACTGACATCTTGGGTATGTCACATCATCACAACAAATAGATGGTTGTTTTTATAAATAAAGGAATTAACATAGGGAATACCCTTGTTACTATAAATAGAGAGACAGTTGTTTATGCATACCAAATAACAGTTTTGTATTTTCTAAATTTAGCATCTAGGGCAATGCAGAATGCTAAATATATCATTGTTATTGTTTACATTTATACCAAAATGGCAGCCTGTGTGAAGGGAAATAATTATATTTTTGTGATAAATATGATGACTGGGAATGGGGAGAGAGAGATGGGGTTTAACATCCACTTGACACAAAATGGGTCCTTCCCGGACTAACATATGGTTGAATTTTATTTCAATAATTCTCTTGCACGTAGGGATCTTTAGCAGTGGGAGGAAACAGAGAACCCAGAGAAAACCCAGGAGATTGGACAGGCAACCCTGTTCCTTGTAACATGCCAACAATCCAGACATAAACCAGATTGTCTAAGCTCAACAGTGTAAGTGTTAATAATTCCTAAAGATTTTAACGTACTATCAAGAAGTTATAAGTATCGTTGACCCAAGTCAATCAAAGATTTAAAATAATATTGAACAGTTTTAACATGTGATATAATATATTATAAAATAAATGGAGAAAGTTTAAAAATTTTCATGTCGAAAGCTCAAAACAGAAGATTAGCATGAAACAATGAGAGTACATTTAGCATGGAATAAGGGGTGGAAAATTTGGTTATTTTCCGCAAGAATGACAAGTAATGCACAGTGAAGTAATCAAATAACAAGCGTGAGAAACAGATTCTGATTTCTAGTCCTTTGTTGTTCCCCAAGCAAAAATATGATGAATTTGATCAATTACCAGAGGCGAAAAATACACGTTTCTTTTGGCAATTCTTACCACAGATTGAGTCAGTCAAAGACATTCAAACAGGGTTTTCACTTCACAATTTTCCCAGCCCAGTCAATTTCTGATATTTTGTGTACCTTGGATTAGCAAGATATATTTTTCCAAAGAGCGAAAAAGAGAGAGGGAGAGATCAATAATTCACTTGCGCCTAGGGGTCTTTAGCACTTGGAGGAAACCGGAGAAAACCCACGAGGTTGGATTTTTTCCAAAGAATATGACTATTATAACACCCAAATTTATCTTTATATATTTAAACAGACATTATGTAAGAGCTAATTCAGCCTACTGCAGATCTTTCTTTAGGCCTAAAATGTTATCTATCAATTAACCTGAAAAGACCATGATCAAGTCACGTAGATTTGAACAGTTCAGTCATTTAATGATTTAAAACAAGGCTAAGACTTGAATGACCAGTACGGTGGTTACAATCAATGCACACATCTTGTCAAAACTACAACTATTGATAACTTCGTTCAAGATAAAGTAATTTGAATGAAGTTTTCAATATATTCATTTTGCATTATCTATTTTTGAAATATTATAACGAGAACGGCCAGCTCTTTATCTAAAATTTACATAAATCCACTTAAAGTGTTTTTACACATAACTTGATTTTATTTGCTTAAAAAAAGTTAAATTCTTTGAAAACAAATTATAACCTGTTAATTGACTGACAGGTTGGTTCTCCACTTGGTCACTTTCACTGCTAGTCAATCAAGACCGGCAAATATTACTGAAACAAGAACCCTGGCTTAGCCCATCTATAGTTTCATATGTACATGTCATCGACTAAAATAAATCAAGTGTTCAAACCTTCCGGATATTACATCCTTTTAAATCAAATGTTCAAACCTGCCGCATATTACATCCTTTTAAATCAAGTGTTCAAACCTGCCGGACATTACATTCTTTTTAATCTGGGTCTTAATTCAATTCACCAAGAAATAGACTAAACGTGTGAAACCTCTTTAAAGATGCATTATATAAGAGCTAAATCTGCCTACTGCTGGTATTTATTTGGCTTCAAAATAAAAATGAATTATTACTTTAGCATTTATTCACATGACGAGTCCACAATCAACTCTCTAAACCATACTGAATGGATTAGAACATTCACACAATTTAACGTTAAAATCTTTTTTATTATCGTGGCAGTGGTACTTGACAATCAAGACTATCTTGTCGAAACTTTAAACACTCATAACTTCGTTCAGAACAAAGTTTCTTGACTAAATTTTCAACACATCCATTTTTCATCATCTATTTTTCTGCACAACAGCCAGCTCTTTATCTAAATCTTAAATAATGCATCTTTTTTTATCATTTAATAAAATCTGGACCCAGAAATGATTTAAACAGTTTTGGACATACTGAATTACATCTGTTCATCTTTTGTAAATATTTTATATCTATGGTAGTCCGAAGAATTTAAGTGATCTGTCCATACTAGCTGAAGAAACATAGGTAGCGTTAGTTCCGAACTGTACACCAGTTGCTGTCGCTGTATGATCATTAAATATAGCCAACTCATTCCATTGTTTACATAAATACACCCTGAAATAAAACATCAAATATTTAAACAAAAATATTAAATGAAATTTAAAGTCCTACTGTTCTGCTCCGACTGGGCTAAAAAAAGACGGACATATGTCATACAGTGTGCTATGAGGGAAATTTTGCCCGTGCAGTGGTACTATCGTCTACTCTTATACTGAATTCCAACTGCCAAGGGATCTTTTACATGTGTGCCAATGTACACATGAGACCCTGCTTTTTCGTTCAATCCGAAAGACAAGACAGCTGTCCTTGTCAGGCCCTCCGTCCCGCACCAGTGACAAGGGGAAACCACGTCAGAAAATCGAGATGAACTTTCTCAGCCAATGCAGGGATCGAACACCCACCTCTAAACTAGCGAGCCAGCATCTAACCCACTTAGCCACCGTGGCTCCCCAAGGTATAGAGAGATAACTCTATACAAATTATTTAACTATGAAAGAAACGTGGGAAAGAGAGAAATGGGTTTAAATAACATCCACTTGACCCAAACTAGGTCATTTCGGGACTAACATTCAATTTTTTTTATTTCAATAATTTGCTTACGCGTAGGGGTCTTTAGCAGTGGCCGGAAAATCCCACAAGGTTGGGTAGGCAACCTTACACCTAGTCACATACAAGCTTAGGATCAAAATCCGGTCACTTGACACATGTAAATGCATGCATTAGACTACTCGAACGATAATACACAATTTCTTAATCAGCTCATTGGACATTATTCTTCTAAGCTCTTATAGATCAAATGGAGAAATGGGTTCGAAACGAGAATGATATGTGTGAACTTACCGAACATCAGACCCAGCTACAGCCAAGTATGTACCACTCTGGTCAAAACACAAGGATCGTACCTAGAGGAAAATAGACATAATTATAAATACATGTATATAATTGATAAATTGATGGAAATATTAAATCATTATTGGTAAATAAACAAACATCTAGTGTCCTACTGTTCTGCTCCGACTGGGAAAATGAAGATGAGCATACACCATACAGAGTGCTATGAGGGAAATTTTGCCATGACAGACTTTTATATCGAATTCCCACTGTCAACGGATCTTTTACGTGAGCGCCAATGTGTACACGGGACCTCGGTTTTTCGTCCTTGTCAGGCCCTCTGTCCTGCATCACTGACAAGGGGGGAATCACGCCGGAAAATCTGGATCAACTATCTCGGCTAGTGCAGGGATCGAATACCCGACCTCCAGGCTAGCAAGCCAGCGTCTTACCCACTTAGCCACTATGACCCCCACTCATCAATCCAACGCTACACTTACTTCATATTTATCCGTTAGTTGTATCGTCTTAAAATTCTTCAATTTTCTCAAATCCCAGAGTTTAACAACAGAATCTTCGGCAGATGTAGCTAAATAATAACCTGAAGAAAAAAACCCCAGTTATTTCTCTTAATTTTCAAATTTTTATTAAAACTTTTCACTTTTCTGTCATTTTGCCCAGGGAAAGATAAAAATCATCATGAGTTAAAACCCCTCACTTGCTGCCCATAAACGAAATGAAATGAAATGGGGTTTAACGTCCTACTGTTTTGCTCCGAACTGGGCAAATGAAGAAGGGCATACGCCATACAGTGTGCTATGAGGGAAATTTTGCCCGGACAGCGGCACTACGGCCTACTCTTATATCGAATTCCAACTGTCAAGGGATCTTTTACGTGCACGCCAATGTGTACACGGGACCTCGGTTTTTCGTCCCATCCGAACGACTAGACAGCTGTCCTTGTCAGCCCCTCCGTCCTGCATCACTGACAAGGGAGAACCATGCCGGAAAATCTGGATGAATGCCCATAAACAGATGTATTCAATATAAAATAATCTTCCTAACAAGTACATCCATGGTTTAGCTCTTGACTACTTGAGTGAACTTATACAGATCAAAAGTGGAAAAAGAAGAACTCGGTCAACTTCAAAACACAACCTCGTCGTTCCTAAAACATTTAAAGTGTCTTGTGGTGGTAGGGCTTTTTCAGTTGCAACACCTATCCAATGGAACAAACTTCCAGCAACATCATTCCTTTAAATCATGCTTAAAGATTCAATTATTTACCTGTGAAGACCAAACGCGACAGTGGGCTCAGTGCCATTGAGTAGAATAGTTCTAGATCAGAGATGCTATATTATTATTAATTAGAAATCGAGAGAAATGAGGTATAAAGTCCACTTGACACAAAGTACGTAATTTCGGGACTAACATATGATTCAATTATATTTCATTAATTCGCTTGAGTGTAGGGTTCTTTAGCAGTGAGAGGAAACCAGAGGACCCAGAGAAAACCCATGCGGTTTGACAGGCGACCTTACTCTTTGTCACGTACAACCAAGGAATTGAAACCACGCCAGTTCACTTAATGACAGACCTTATGATATAAAACACACACGCTAACTATTCGGCCATCCAAACCCCACATAGTAGTGTTTAGAAGTGCGGCCACCAAAGGACCCAGAGAAAACCTACAAAGTTAGACAGACGACCCTACTCCTTGTCACATAAGTTCGAGTAAAGATTTCGAAAACAACGCTTCTTTCCTCGATGGCAGACCTTATGATCTAAAAGTTAGTAATAATTTAAGATAACACTAACCATTTTCTGAGAAAGCAATACTAGTAACAGGTCCCTGATGTCCAGGGAAATTAGCAACGTTTGTTCTTTCTTTTAAATCCCAGATCTTGATGACAGAATCTTCGGTTCCAGTTCCAAAAATCAAACCATCAGGATGAAACTGGGCACACGTTAAGGCAGGTGCTGTAAAAAAAAAAGAAAAAAAAGTCAAACCTTTATTTATTTTACTAATAATTTAAAAAATTTGTTTTAGAATTTAATTTGCAGAAGAAAAAAAGTTAATATTGCGTCCATTTCAGTGACAGTAGCGGTCAAGCGAATATTTAACAGTGATCATTTTTTGTATCACACCGGCGAGTCCTAGGACCTGGATGATAGTTCAACCTAAATTTACCTACATACCTAACATCGTAGCATTTATGGCAAAGCGGGCCAGACTGAGCAAGCTCGTCATTCTTTCATTTCTTATACTCAGAGCTTCTCCTTTGGATAAACTTCACCTTGGGCGCTTCGCTACAAAGACATTGTGTCTTACCCAACAGCTGTATCAAGCCTATTTTGTGGCTTCCTCTGGCAAGTTTCTTAGGAAACACTTGTCTACGATATCACCCTTGGGGGAAGGGGACATAAAACTCTAGGAACGAACGGTTGTACACATGTTTAAGGAGACTAGTTTAACTCACCGGCTTGGGTAGAAGTATCGCTGACTTTAGTTAAAACACGACCAGTTCTGATATCAGAGAACGCCCAGTGCTGTGTTAAAATAATAATACATGTTAATAATTATATTATACTTGTTAGATAGATTTAAGAGAATGAATGTAATCGTGCTCTATTCCATAACAGGTCATTTTGGGGTAGGGATAAAACACCACATTTGTTAGGTTCGAGGGAAGGGATTAAACTCCAAATTTGTTAAGTTTGGGGAAGGGATAAAACTGCACATTTAAGTTTGAGGAAGGGATAAAATTCCAAATTTGTTAAGCTTGAGGGAGGGGAGAAAACTCCAAATTTGTTAGTTTTGGAGAGGGAGAAAACTCTACATTTGATAAGTTTAAGAAGGGAGAAAACTCTACATTTGATAAGTTCATGGAAGGGATAAAACTCCACATTTGTTAAGTTTGAGGGAAGGGATAAAACTCATAATTTGTTAAGTCTGAGGGAAGGGATAAAACTTCAAATTTGTTGATTTTGAGGGAGGGATAAAACTTTACATTTGTTAAGTTTGGGGGAAGGGTTTGGGGAGGGATAAAGTTCGTGGGTAAAAGATAAAACTCCACATTTGTTAAGTTTGGGAAGGTATTAAACTCCAATTTTGTTAATTTTGAGGGAGGGATAAAACTCTTATTTTGTTAATTTTAAGGGAGGGATAAAACTCCACGTGTAGAGACTTTGTTCATGATAAATTGTTTCAATGACTTTCAGTAATTGAACTAGAATACACAGGTCACAATTTTAGTGAATACAATTACTGTTTTATACCGAGGGACGTTTCGACGAGGCTTCTCTATATAGTCGTTATCAAGCAACGACACAATTACTGTTGACTATTGAGAAACGTTTTGACTGGTTTTTATCAAGCGATAAAATAAGATATAAAATACATACCATATCTGTTGAACAACTGAGTAGATAATCTCCTGTAGCGTGTAAACTGATTCCGGTTACTGGTGCATCATGGGCACGAATCAACTGAGCACACTGGGCCGTCTGCACACCCCACACTCTAATACTACAATCTGGTGAGGCCGATATAACAAGGTCCTGTATAAACAATAACAGATATAACAAGTTCCTTTATAAACAATAATTCTTATACTACAAACTGGTGAGGCTGATAACAGTAACAGATAACAAGTTCCTTTATAAACAGTAACAGATAAAACAAGTTCCTTTATAAACAACAGTTATAACTATTTGAAATGAAATGGGGAGAGAGGGAAATGGGGTTTAACGTCCACTCGACACTAAAATGAAATGGGGTTTAACACCCTACTGTTCTGCTCCGACTGGGCTAATTTCACTTTAAAATATTGAACAAAAAATCATTGACCAGATTACAGATATCCAAATTCAATTGATTTGGCCATAACCAAAATGAAATGAGTTGGGGTTTAATGTCCTAATGTTTTGCTCTGACTGTGCTATGCGGGAAATTTGGAACAGACAGCGGCACTACGACCTACTCTTCTATCAAATTCCAACTACCAAGGAATCTTTAATGTGCACAGGACCTCGGTTTTTCATCCCATCTGAACGACTAGACAGCTGTCCTTGTCAGGCCCTCCATCCTGCACCAATGACAACGGGAAACCGCGCCGAAAAATATTGAACTTTCTCAGCCTCTTACCCACTTAGCCACCGTGGCTCCCTGGCCCTAACCCATACTTACATCTTCAGGATGATAGATAACACTGGAAACTTTTTTAGTATGTCCTTTTAGTATAGCCATCACTTGTTCTGTATCTTTATTAAATACGACCACATTCTTATCATTACCACCTGTAAATATACATATATACATTATCATTACCACCTGTAAATATATATACATACATTAAATACTACTTCATTGACACCTGTAAATATATACAGCATTTAGCGATCGGTAAACATATTAACAGAACAGTTTTTATGGGATACAACCACTAGTTTTATTCTAAAAGCAGGACGTTTCGACAAGTATCCTCTTATCGTTATCAAGCACGGTGACATGTAGTCAACTTGAAGTCAATATATAAGGAATTCTCTGTAAATGGTTTATATATACTATTCAAAAAAAGTAGGGGATATTTGATTTTGGGGGCATAATACTAAAATATGCAAATGACTACGAAAAAAGTCACTATAGAACCTAACAGAAGAAACATTTCCAGTTACATGTGACGCCCAAACGCACCAATAGCTACCGCATGGAATGCAGGTGATGCTTGGGATCATCATGGGGGTCCAACCCAAGATTTGCACGACTCTGACTTTGAATGTTACAGTCATTGTGGCATTGAATTCCAGGGTGGAAACATCAGTTTAATTGTTTTAGTGACCAGAAAACAAATTTTGATATGCGTCGGCTTACCCAAAATGAAAGGTTACGTGCCCTTGGCATGCTACAGATCGGCACAACACAGGCGGTTGTGGCGCGGACGATGAATGTTTCTCAGTCTGTCATAAGCAGGCTATGGTCCAGATACCGTGATACACAATCTGTACAGGACAGACCACGCTCAGGTCGACCAAGGGCGACAACTCAAGCCCAGGATCGATTTATTCGTACCTTGGCCTTGAGAAATCGTGTCATCACAGCAAATCAGATCAGTGCTCGTCTTCAAACAGACACTGGTGTGAGAGTGAGTGGCCAGACGATTCGGAATCGACTGCATAGGGGTCACCTTCGCGCCCGACGTCATAGCCTGATCCCTTGTTTGAGAGATCACATTCAGGTAAGACGTCGTTGGTGTAGGGATCGTCAACACTGGGATAATCGACGCTGGAGCAATGTGATGTTTTCAGATGAGTCAAGGTTCACTGTTGATTTTTTGGACAGACGTAGGAGGGTGTGGCGTCGTTGAAACGAGCGCTTCCAAGACGTTAACGTCATCAGACATGATCGATTTGGTGGTTCTGTTATGGTGTGGGGAGGCATCACTGTTGCGGGAAGAACGGCTTTACATGTTGTTGCAGGGCGTGTTACAGGCCAGTACTACCGGGACAACATCTTGGCAGTCCATGTTGTGCCGTTCGCACGACGTCATGGCCGCCGTTTCATCTTCCAGGATGACAACGCAAGATGTCACAGGGCCAGGATCGTTACAGGTTACCTCCAACAACAGAACATCACCACATTACCTTGGCCAGCACTGAGTCCCGACCTCTCCCCCATCGAGCATGTCTGGGACATGCTTGGACAGAGGTTACGTCAACAACGTCCTGCCAATGTCCAAGAACTTGCTGCTGCGTTGCAACAGGAATGGGACAATCTGGACCAAAATGACCTTAGACGTCTCATTAGGAGTATGCCACGTCGGATCAATGCTTGTTTGGCAAACAGAGGAGGATTTACCCGTTACTGACTTGGTTGTGATGCTGTGGTAATGAGACGTCTAAGGTCATTTTGGTCCAGATTGTCCCATTCCTGTTGCAACGCAGCAGCAAGTTCTTGGACATTGGCAGGACGTTGTTGACGTTGACGTAACCTCTGTCCAAGCATGTCCCAGACATGCTCGATGGGGGAGAGGTCGGGACTCAGTGCTGGCCAAGGTAATGTGGTGATGTTCTGTTGTTGGAGGTAACCTGTAACGATCCTGGCCCTGTGACATCTTGCGTTGTCATCCTGGAAGATGAAACGGCGGCCATGACGTCGTTCGAACGGCACAACATGGACTGCCAAGATGTTGTCCCGGTAGTACTGACCTGTAACACGCCCTGCAACAACATGTAAAGCCGTTCTTCCAGCAACAGTGATGCCTCCCCACACCATAACAGAACCACCCCCAAATCGATCATGTCTGATGACGTTAACGTCTTGGAAGCGCTCGTTTCGACGACGCCACACCCTCCTACGTCTGTCCAAAAAATCAACAGTGAACCTTGACTCATCTGAAAACATCACATTGCTCCAGCGTCGATTATCCCAGTGTTGACGATCCCTACACCAACGACGTCTTGCCTGAATGTGATGATCTCTCAAACAAGGGATCACGCGAGGACGTCGGGCGCGAAGGTGACCCCTATGCAGTCGATTCCGAATCGTCTGGCCACTCACTCTCACACCAGTGTCTGTTTGAAGACGAGCGCTGATCTGATTTGCTGTGATGACACGATTTCTCAAGGCCAAGGTACGGATAAATCGATCCTGGGCTTGAGTTGTCGCCCTTGGTCGACCTGAGCGTGGTCTGTCCTGTACAGATTGTGTATCACGGTATCTGGACCATAGCCTGCTTATGACAGACTGAAAAACATTCATCGTCCGCGCCACAACCGCCTGTGTTGTGCCGATCTGTAGCATGCCAAGGGCACGTAACCTTTCATTTTGGGTAAGCCGACGCATATCAAAATTTGTTTTCTGGTCACTAAAACAATTAAACTGATGTTTCCACCCTGGAATTCAATGCCACAATGACTGTAACATTCAAAGTCAGAGTCGTGCAAATCTTGGGTTGGACCCCCATGATGATCCCAAGCATCACCTGCATTCCATGCGGTAGCTATTGGTGCGTTTGGGCGTCACATGTAACTGGAAATGTTTCTTCTGTTAGGTTCTATAGTGACTTTTTTCGTAGTCATTTGCATATTTTAGTATTATGCCCCCAAAATCAAATATCCCCTACTTTTTTTGAATAGTATATATATATTCACTGAGTCACCACAGTTTCCTAATTAAGGTTGTTTGACTATTTTGAATTGATTATATGATTACCTGTAACAATTTTTGATGTATCTTTAAGACACATGTCTAAACACAATATACCTGGAACACTAGCACTATGTAAACCCTGTAATAATATAAATAATAGTCATACTAAACTTAAGCTTGTCTTAAAAACACTAAGCTAATCGACGATTTTAGTCGAAAACATTAAGTATAGTTCAATAATTTTGATAATTATTTATTCCACTTCCATTTGATAAATAGAATATGTTTATCTAATCATTGTCTGTATGACAGATGATAAACTGAGTAGGACAGCATAACAAAATAGTATACTAATTTGGATATGGCAGTCCATTCAGGTCAGGGATCTATTATCGAAGTATATATTTCTTTGTGTGCAGAACGACCAACAGTAAGGCTGATTTCCTCCACCACAATCTCTTATAAATAGATGAAATGGTGTTTAAACGTCCTACTGTTCAGCTCCGACTATGCTAACGAAAACGAGCATATGCCATACAGTGTGCTAGGAGTGAAATTTAACCAGGATTGCGTCACTTTGGCCTACTCTTATTATATCAAATTCCAACTGCCAAGGGATCTTTTATGTGCATGCCAATGTGTACATGGGCTTCGGTTTTTCGTGCCATCCGAACGACTGGAAAGCTGTCCTTGTCAGGTCCTCCGTCCTGTATCACTGACAAAGGGGAACCACACCGGAAAATCTGGATGAACTTTCTCGGCCAATGCAGGGATCGAACACCCGACCTCCAGGCTAGCAAGTCAGCGACTTACCCACCGTGACCCCCTACTAATGTCGTGGAATGGCACAGACAATTATACTACTTATCCGTTTACTAAAATTACCAAACAAGAATGTACATACTGTATGAGAGGCCAACTGTCTATAAGAACGAATATCTTCTATAGTAGCTAATCCTTCAGGCACCTGTTTTCCTCTCTTAAATAAAAAATAAAAACAAAATTATTATGGTTATTCAAGAAACCAGATTAATTAAGACAGCCATATGTCATGGAGTGTACTATGAGGGAAATTTTAACCGGACTGCGACATTTCTGCCTACTCTTATATCTTTACTACACTAGGATCTGTAAGAGCTGTTATGTAACCCATGTTGTGATTGATTGAAACAGTCTGTCACAGCAAGTGGGTATCGATTTGTCTCCCACCTCTATCGGAAGATCTCTACCAGCTACCGTGTACTGAAATTGGATTCTTCCGCACTCAGAAGATATTCCGTCTCTTCTGGTCCAAAATTAGAGAGAGTTGAGAAATGGGATTTAACGTCCGCTCCACACAAACTAGGTCATTTCGGGACTAACATGGTTTAATTTTATTTCAATATTTTGCTTGAGCGTAGGGGTCTTTTAGTAGTGGAAGTACCCGGAAAAACCCACGAGGTTGGACAGGCGACCAAGTTGACTCAATGACAGGCTTTATGATACAGCGCGCATGTGCTAACCATTCGGCCATCCAACCCCCCCTCCAAAACTAGAAGACAACCTGGTGGAATACAGAAACGATAGATAACAGTGAGCCTTTCAGCCATGTTTCTTTCTACTGTTCACTTGATTCACATTTACTGAAGAGCTTCTACTGCTTCTGGAAGTGGCAAAACAAGTCGACCACTGATCCCTTTTAGGGGTACGTCAAAGTTAACGATAATTTTTTTTAGCTAGTTACAAAAGTTTTATTCTGGCTCAATTTCTATATAATAAAGCTGTGAATACACATACCTTTTTACGTTCTGCTGTCAACAGTGTAGCTTTGTCTTGTAACTGAAATATTAATGTACCAAATTCATTAAACATAGTAGGCCTGTAAAACTTTACGCATTCTTTAAATTCGTGTTTAATAGATGGGAAACAGGGATTGGCAGTGGTAACAATTTTCCGTTTCACAAAATGGGAAATTCCATTTTAAACATTGTGAACTCCATTTTTTCCCCGCCCCCATTTCATGGAACTGAACTTTCAATTTTTTCAGTTTCTGTACCGTATTTTTCTCACACGAGAATATAAGCCAAAAAAATAGAATCTTTTCTCTGACACTGTCAAAATTGGCATGTTTCCATTTCTCTTAATTTCCAGCGTCTTGCAAGATTTCTACTTTTAGTTTTCACTTAAATTAACCAAGCATACTATATTGTATGTTTTATTCTATTTTTAGTAATGTACATAATAACCACATGTGATTATAAACAGAGCTTGCACTGTCTTATATTTATCGGATATATTAAATCAAAAACTGGTTCAAATAAACCAAGAACACAACTTGAAATATTAATCAAGTTAGTCCTACATTTATAAACTGATAATTTTCCATTATGCGCTAATTTTTCTTGGCGTATACCGCCACGAAGACTAGGATAGCCTCCCTGAATCTCGATATGGTAATAGATTGCTAGCACATAGTAATTTCCTGAATTGTGGCCCTTGATAGTACGAAAAATCGCGTTTTGAGCTTGTGGTCTCTAAAGAGGTCACAATTTTACCACATTCGTCTTATATACCACTTCGACGTATATATGGATGGAGGTCAGAAAAACAGTCAAATATGACGATTCAACTTCTACTCCACATCGACTTATACCCCGTGAAATATCGTAATAATATCTATTGTTATTGAGTGAACTCGTTTCAGTTTTTTAACAGAATACGCCATAGTTCATGGGGCTGTGTGACTGGAACCTCCTTGTAAGTGTGTCAGTGTCAAAACTTCATATACAATTTTACTAATGGATGCAAAATAACAGTAAGAAGTAGAATTAATAATATATAACTTAAGACTTACTTTCTGAATGACCTCTTCACTCATTCCTGCCTCTTCCATTGGTTGTGCAGCCTCGGCTCCAGCTTCGGCAGCATAGGCCTGGAAATAAAATTAAAATACAAATTAACACAGGGGGAAAGTTAGCACTGTGGGCATAAAGAAATAAAGTATCAGCCATTAATAAATGGAATGAAATGAAATGAAGTTTAACATCCTACGGTTCTGCTCCTATACTGGGCTAATGAAGACCGACATATGCCATACAGTGTGCTATGAGGGAAATTTTGCCTGGGCAGCAGCACTAGAACCTACCCTTATATAAAATTCCAAGTGCCAAGGGTTCTTTTTTTTGCACACCAGACTTCGGTTTTTCTTCCCATCCCAACGACCATAAGCTGTTCCTTGCCAGACCCTCTGTCCTGCATGACCAGGACTGATCATGTGACCACCAGTTTAGCATGCCACCGTCTGAGTTACTAAGCCACTGTGGCTCCGTTATTTAATTAAAAGGGTTCAGATGGCCTAGTGGTCTAGAGTGCCGTGCTTCGACTCCTAGCTGGCCGGTCACCTCTGGCTTGCGGTTGTGGTTTCAATTCCTGGTGTGAGCGTATGTGGCTTGGAGATATGGGTGCCTTCTCAACCTCGTGGGTTTACTTCGGGTTCCTCCCACAGGAAAGCCCCCTGTGCGTGAGCGTGAATAATACGATGTGCTTCGGTGGAAGCTGACGTTAAACACTAAGAACAACAACAACAGCATTTACTTACAGGAGCTTGAGCAGGAGGAGCATATCCAACACCACCAGCTGTAATACCAGCTTGTGGTTTTAATGTAGCTAAAGCTTCTCGAGCAGCTGTTACTTCTTTAGTTAATCTAGCAATAACACGACAAGCAGCATCGTGTTGATATAAAGCATGGGATAACTCTAAAATACAGAAAAAAAAAAAATGAAATTGATAATACTCGAATCTTGTGTTGATATAAAGGTTGGGATGACTCTAAAATACAGAAAACAAAACATGGCATTAATGAGACTTGAACATCGTGTTGATATAAAGCATGGAATAACTCTAATGACAGAGAAAAAAACATGGCATTGATAAGACTTGAACATGGGTAATAGCTGAGAATAACTAGACCATTGGCTAGATTACTCGCAACCTGATTAAAATACAGATCTATATTTCGTTTCATTTTTTTATACTTTTGATAGCCTGCACTACATGAACATCTGACCAGTTTTAGTGTAAGGTCATTTCAGAAGTTTTTGACCCTATGACGTCAAACATTTGATTAACCAATCATCCAGAAAACATGTTATATAACATTTCTTTCGGATCCTAGTGTAGTAAAGACAAGTAAAACAAAATTTTGAACTATAAATAACTATAACAAAATAGGATCTGCATTTTAATCAGATTGGATTATCCGGTCTTTTATTTTGTCATGTACAAAATCTACTTTTTCCAGTGAGAGAGTGTAATAAGGGAGGTAAATAGCACTTAAACAAAATGTTGACGCCCATGAAATTAATTGAAGAATTGCCATTTCACAAAAATCTTATTCCAATATCCAACACTCTTAAATTTTTCATTGCAAAATTCCTCTTCTAAAGGATCATATCTATGGTTTTTATTTATCCTAATTCGTTGTCATGATTCAAGTTGGTTAATAATAATGCAGGAATTATAGGATTTATTTCGAGAAGGGGCACAACTCTTTTAAAGTTACAATTTCATATTTTTAAGTTGTATTTTTAAAATGTATTAAAATAAAGCCCTAAAATAGATGATATCTATAAATAGTCCTACCCTGTTAAAGAATAATCCTATTACTCCTATAATTCACTATTGCTAGTTGAGAAATTGGCAAAAATATCATTTTCAACTTCAAATTCAAATGTTTGAAGATGGCTAGCTATTCCATGGTGGGGAATAGGAAAACAAGGGAGATAATTGGGAGGTAATTGTGTTATTATTTCCGTGTGAAGATTTGTAAGTGTGAGAAAGATAACCTATGATCATATAATAGTGAGTTGACAACCTATTGAGCAAAAGACACAGAAATAATTATGTTTTGACTTTCTTAGAAAATATGAAATTGTAACTTTAAGTTCTCAGTGGACCAATATGAAGAAAACAAATTTAGTAATGAAATGAAATGGGGTTTAACGTCCTACTGTTCTGCTCCTATACTGGACTAATGGAGACGGGCATATGCCATTACAGTGTGCTATGAGGGAAATTTTGTCCAGGCAGCGGCACTATCACCTACTCTTATATCGAATTCCAACTGCCAAGGGATCTTTTACGTGCATTCCAATGTATACACGGGACCTCGGTTTTTCGTCACATCTGAAGGACTAGACAGCTGTCCTTGTCAGGCCCTCCCGTCCTGCATCACTGACAAGGGGAAACCACGTCGGAAAATAATCCAGATGAACTTTCTCGGCCAATGCAGGGATCGAACACCCGACATTCAGGCTAGCGTCTTAACCAACTAGCCACCGTGGCTCCCCCATAATTTAATAAATTAAAGTAAATAATATCCCATCTTACCTTGTCTAGCTGTCTGCAGCTGTTGTCTTAATGTAAAACTATGTAACATAACAGCATCCTATAAAAAATTATCAAACCTTTACTTTCACTTCAACATACTAGGTCATATCGGGACTAACATATGGTTCCATTTTATTTCAATAATTTGATTGTGGGTGGGAGTCTTTAGCAGTGGGAGGAAACAGGAGTACCCTGATAAAACCCACGAGGTTGGACATGCGACCCTACTCCTCGTCACATACAACCGGGGGATCGAAACACACCAGTTGACTCAATGAAAGACCTACCTTATGATACAACGTGTACACGCTAACTATTCGGTCCCTACCCCACCCCACATTCGGTCCCCACCCCACCCTCCAGCCATTTTGAAGATAACATATAATGAAAATTTGTACAATTTTCAGAAAGGAGAATTTGGCATTGACAGCAGCTAGTCCACCTACTCTTTCTTGAATCCAAACTGTTAAGGGTTTTTATACATGCACCCGACAATGTTACACTGGAGGACCTCGGTTTATCAACCCATCCAAAGAACTACTACTAGACACACTTTCCTTGTCAGCTCTGCCCATGCTACCCATGACAAGTGGGAATCGAGTTCGAGGTTTTTCTTGGACCACAAAAAGAGAATATTTACCCATTCATCCTGTAATGATTTTAATATAGCCGGTACACTGGTAGCTGATGGAGGACGTGGCTTCACTAAAGCAGTTGCTGGAAAATACAAAGAAATTGTTTCATTATGACCTTTAGTAATTGAATTGGAATATACAGGTCACAATTTTATGGAATACAATTACTGCTTACTATTAAGCAACCCATCTGTGTACATTTCTAGGTGCCAAAGAATAGAGAATTAGTTCCCTTTCAAACTTGTAAATTTGTTAAACTATTCATAACATAACACAACACAAGATATGGATATAACTACTTCTCTATTATTTAATAGAGAGAGAGAAATGGGGTTTAACGCCCACTCGATACAAACTAAGTCATTTCGGGACTAACACATGGTTTAATTTTATTTCAATAATTTGCTTGCGCGTAGGGGTCTTTAGCAGTGGGAGGAAACCGGAGGACACAGAGAAAACCCACGAGGTTGGACAGATGAGCTATTATTTAATAACGACATTTCGTAACACATACAGGTCACGTTTTCAAGTTAATGATAAATATCCATCTTGTCAGCCTATTTATACATATTTTAGTTTATACTAGTTACACCAACTTAATTAATAATCAGAAGAAACCATTAAAAGAATTGAATTTGTTAAACCTTGTGTTAAAACTTGTAAATGCCTGGATATATCAGTTCCATTACAACTTACTTTTTATTTCAATCAATACATCTGCGGAGAGATCAGCACCATTCATAGGATCCGTTCCATTTTCTAAAATATATTTTTCTATTAATCGTTTCTCGAACACATGACCAGATGCTGGGGAAATAACAGGATGCTCTGGAACCTCGTTACTGACTAAAAGTAAACAAAGAATAAAATAACACATGAAACAATTATATGGAATACAAACAAGTTACTTAAACATGCATTATGCAAGAGCTAAATCTGCCTATTTCAGGTCTTTCTTTAGGCCTGAAATGTTATCTAAATTATTAATTAGACATTAATTAACCTATCCAGGCCATAATCAACTCTAGATGGCAGCGCTAGCCTGTGATCTTTAGTGGATTGTAAGCCGATTTACTGCATAACTTTCCTTCTCTATTAAACGATTAAATGGATAATCGAGACTATGCTGTTTATCGTACTGACTTTAGTAATGATGACCAAGGCTTATGGGAATTTCAGTCGCTTAGTTCTCGGTTCATAGTGGATCAATTTGAATGAAATTTTCACCAAAATGCCTTTAAAGATACATTCCCAGAATAGTATTTATCAGGTGGTTATTTCCAATAAAAGTATGGCAATTTTGGTACATGTATATGGAAAGTAGAAATATCCAATCTTACTAGAAAAATACTGGATTCCCTGAAAAACACTCATGGAGCGCATACAGGACAAAAATGTAAGGGTTTCCCTAATCGACAGCACAACTATTAGGAGTGTCTGCACGCGCGACGTCAACGGTTGCACGCGGAGATTGAGTGCTTGATCTACATCTCGATAAACTTTATGAAGAGTTAGACGTACATGTACAACACTTTCTGAGGTAAAAATCACGGAAAAAGACGTGGACAGTGGATAATCCGTAAAAGTTGTCTTTATCTCTCATCCTCGAATTCAGTTACTAAATGCAGCGTAATCAAAGAATAAAATATTAAAAATGATCTCCTAATACTAGGTAATTGTCAAAACGGGCTTAATACTATAATTAACTTACCACCAAATACTAAACACAATTTTAATGAACTATACATAAAAAAGATTGGAGTTAATTCGCAAAAATTGTACAGTAAAATAGAATGACTATTTATAGTTTCAGTAGCTCAAGATTCTGAAAGTTGAAACACTAGCCACATGCAAATACCCCCTCCCCCCCCCCCCCCCAATTCTAACTGAAGCTGATCATCATCATGTGCTATCGAGCAGTGACCATGAGAAATTAAAAAAAAATCCACTTGTTAATTTGTGACTGGAGCTGAGTAATGCAGTCCTTTTAGGAACAAAGTCCAAATTCAACACTAGCTGTTTAGTCGGCAAGATTTGAGTTGTAAATTAACCTAAATGTGTGTATGGCTTAGTCGTTTCGTTTCTTTGTATAACGGATCCTAAATTTAAACAACCGTTGAGAAAACACCGGTAATTTTTTCACAAAATAAAAGAAATATAACAACATAACCGAAACTTATTTGGATTTAAATTATTTTAATAAACAGAATATCTGAATACAAAACTAGCCTAATATACAGCGCAACCGACGAAACAATAAAATAACATTGCACAGGACAAGTGGTGTAACAACAGAAAATGAAAAACGTGGGCTCTTGTTTTGAACTGAAGAAACAAAACAAATCCAATCAATTTCAAATAATGGCACCAGCAATTTCCTGGGGCAGCTGAAACACGTTCTGAACTGCGTGATGAATTGAATAAACATATGGTTAATTGATTTTAAACGGCAATATAAAGGGAAAATTAGTAAATATCCACATACTTGCACAGCAAAGCGCCATTTTCTTTTCGTTGGTTGAATGTAAACGGTTGCGTCTAAATATTTGTCATTTCGGCGCAAGATATAAAACGAATTAAGATCTGAAATGAAATGAAATGGGGTTTAACGTCCTACTGTTCTGTTTTGCCCGGGCAGCTAGGCCTACTCTTATATCGAATTCCAACTGCCAAGAGATATTTTACGTGCACGCTAATATATACACGGGACTTCGGTCTTTTGTCCCATCCGAGCGACTAGACGGCTGTCCTTACAAGGCCCTCAGTCCTGCACCACTGACAGTGAACTTTCTCAGCCAAAGCAGGGAAAAAATAATATATCTAAAGCCAATAGTCCAAACAAGGGTAATGTCAAAGCCACAATTTCTAGTAAGATATGGTCAGACTTACAAAACTTAATATAGGATTTAATTATAGGCATAGCCATAGGCCTACAAATGGAAATAGTCTTTATTTTTTTATTTTTCTTCTTTGCAAATTTTCATCTGCCTATTTTCTTTTTCATAATTTAATCTTTGATTTTGACCATAGTACCAGAGTTGTAAAGGAACGGAATTGGATTCTCGCCAACACGTGTGTTATGCTGTAAGAGTGGAGGGGAGTATAATATGTGCAGGTAGCGTCGCTGGTTTACGTTTGTCAGGTTGTTGGTTGGCCAAATGGTTAACAAGTGCGGCTTGCATTATAGTCATTGATGATGAGTTAAGTGACGTGGTTTCAATTCCCCGCTTGTATGTGACAAGGAGTAGCCTAGGCCGGTCGCCTCGTGGTCTTCGGATCCTCCGGTTTTCTCCCACTGCTAAAGACCCCCACGCGAAAGAGAATTAGTGAAATAAAATTGAACCATTATATTAGTCCCGAAATTTCCTAGTTTGTATCGAGTGGACGTTTAACTCTCTCTCTCTCTCTCCCTCATTCTCTCATGCATTTGGCAACATTTCTTTTACATGCATGAATAATAGGGTTGTATCGCGACGAGCAAGCGAATGATTGAAATAGAAATAAACCATATGTTAGTCCCGAAATGACCTAGTCTGTGTCGAGTCGAGTGGACGTTAAACCCCATCTCTCTCTCCCTCACACGCCCCCCCCCCACACACACACAAACGACTAGGACGCAAGGGATATCAGTTTGTAAAACGAGCCTGAATTATTTCAATCATAAAATATTTATTTCAATTCAACGTATTTATCTAGTAACCGGCGCAAATGCCTTTGGCCGAATCATAATGTAAGTACCATTGATCCGCACTGCTCACGCTTTCTTTTCTTAAATCGCCCCATTGTTCTATATACGAAAGCTGTGCCAAAGTCGATTGGCCGACAAAAATGTATCCTACACGTGGTGAAATTGAGTGAATAAAATGAAATAATATTATTATTGAATATATAAAGCCTTTATGCGTAATTTATACCATTTTTATATACTCTGTGGCAAAGCGATATACAAAATGGAGACCGTGTCTATATCATATGCATATAAATTGTTCATCGCCATTTTAGTTTTTATAGACTTAAGTTTTACACACGAACCAATAATAGATAAACCTGTGCGGGATCGCGATATTATGAGCGCCAGGGTAGAGGTAAACAGTTATTTTTTGTTTTTAATTGATTCATTTTTAAGATCCTGGACGGATCGTCATTTTGAGGGGTATTGAGAATCCCATACTAACTAGGATATTGTGAATGCTGAATCTGTCGTGTCCGTCCCCGTTCTGTTCTGTTTTGTTCTGTCTCCCACCCCCTTCCGTTCTGTACTGCCCCGTTCCGTTCTGTCCCTTCCCGTCCCTTTCTGTCCCCCCCCCCCCGCCACGTTCCGTTCTGTTCCTTCCCCTTTCCGTTCTGTTCTGCCCCGTTCTGTTCTGTCTTGTCTTGTCCCGTCCTGCCTTGTCCTGTCCTTGTCCTTCCCCACTCCGCCCGCCCACCCCTTCCCGTTCCGTCCTGTCCTGCCCTGTCCGTCCCGTCTCGTCCCATTCTGTTCTATTCTGCCCCGTTCCATTGTTCTATTCCTTTCTTTATCATATAGTGGTTGATTACTAATTACATTAGGCCTACCATCTCATTAATATCATAGTCGTTTCATCCTGTTCTTTAAACAGTTTTATACAAGCATTAAGTCGCTTCATACTCTATCCAGTTATATATATTGTTTCCCTTTATGCTTGTATGTGTGGTTTAATAATAGTCGAGAGCGAGACATTAAGAAATATATTGAAACGACATGAGTTTCTGTTTTTACTCTAATTTCTAATCAGTTAATGTTCCGCGAAATACGCAAAGAGTTTGAATTGAATGGCAGTCTCTGGCGTCTGGTTATTCCAGTCTACACCGATGGTATCCTCCTACATGGGATATGTTTAGCCTCGTTCATCGAACTCAACGCATTCTGGCACAGGATTCGTGTGCCAATTTTAAAATTGTAATTTTGTCTAAAATAATAGATATCAGAAGCCCACCTTTTCACGGTAAAATATCAACATCAACGTTGATTTAAATTGACCAATAAATCGTGTTTTCATTGTCGAAGACTGTGGATGATAATGTGTTAAAGACTTCCCCCCTTTCAAATCAGGGGGTAGGGGCGAATGGTTAGCACATGCGCGTTAAATCATAAGGTGTCATTGAGTAAACTGGCGTGGTTTCGATTCCCCGGTTGTACCTGACTAGGAGTAGGGTCGTCTTTCCAACCTCGTGGGTTTTCTTTCCGGGTCCTTCCCCCCCCCCCGCTAAAGATTCCTACGCGCAAGCGAATTATTGAAGTAAATAAGAGCCCTACGTTAGTCCCGAAATGACCTAGTTTGTTTCGAGTGGACGTTAAACCCTATTTCCATCTCTTCAACCTTTAAATCAGCTACCAATAATACATAGTTGTTACTCGCCGCAGCTTCCAAAGGTGCCGTGTGTTCACGACTGGCGGGGGGGGGGGTGGACGGCTGAATGGTTAGCGTGCGAGCGCTGTCTCATAAAGTATATATAGTCTCGATTATCTTGGGGGGTTGGATGGCCGAATGGTTAGCACGTGCGTGCTGTATCATAAGACCTGTCATAGAGTCAACTGGCGTGGTTTCGAATCCCCGGTTGTACGTGACAAGGAGAAGGGTCGCCTGTCCAACCTCGTGGGTTTTCTCCGGGTCCTCCGGTTTCCTCCCACTGCTAAAGATCCCTATGCGCAAGCGAATTATTGAAATAAAATTAAACCATATGTTAGTCCCGAAATGACCTAGTTGGTGTCGAGTGGACGTTCAACCCTATTTCTCTCTCTCTCTCTCTCTCACGACTGGTTTTTCTGGGTTCTTCAATCTTTGTGGTCTTTGTTCTGACATTTCTGTGATTTGTTTTTCAGAGTTGTGGTGGATGTAAAGTGAACCGTTTAAAACATGTTAAAAGGTTTATAGAGAATGACGTGGCTTTATTGTATCCTTTTACAGCAAAGGGAGGGGGGGGGGGGTAGGGTGGAAGGGGGTCAAAATGAAATTGGGTTCACACTGGTAGTATGGATTCGAAAATAAAACTACCATTGGATTAGTCTCTATCATCCAGAAAAAAATACTCTACTAATATTAGTCTGGATGCGTTGTCAACATTTGAGAATAATAGGTCATTGGCTAGATTATCCGGTCTTTTATATTATCATAAACAAAGTGTAAGGGAGGTAACTAGTCCTAAACAAGATGAAATTAATTTAAGAATGCCATTTCAGAAAATTCATTTGATTGCATTGACAGTTCAACATTCAACACTCTAAATTTATCTCTTCATGGGCCATATCTATGGGTTTTGGGTTTTTTTTAAAAATTAATCCTAATTCGTCGTCCCGATTAATGTTTGTTTATAATAATGCAAGACTTGCGGACAGGGGCACAGCAATCTGTTTCACAGAGAATTACGAAAGTCTTCTAATATCTCTGTAAAAGATGGCGCGCCCTGCAATGCGCAATGCTGATAATTTTGCCAGGACAGCTGTATTTACGCCTGCTCTTGGTCGAATTAAACGGCCGAGAATTACTTTACGCATGCTAACGTGTACACCGGAACTCGTCCCACCTTAGCAACGCGACACCAGGCCCCGGGTTTACAAAGCATTCTCAGACTTAAGAATTCACTCAACTTTATGAGAAATATCTTTGATCCAGAAACACAAATATGTTCACATAGTTTCTTATTGATGTATTTGATACATTAGAACAACAAAAGTTTTATAAAAGAGCTATATTTTAGTTAACATAAGCCGAACTGGGAACGTTTTGTGAACCCGGGGACTTTTCCTTGCCCGGCCCTACACTCTGCTCGACTTACCAGACTGGACCATCCCCAGAAACTTAAACATACATTATGCAAGAGCTAAATCTGCCTATTTCAGGTCTTTCTTTAGGCCTGAAATGTTATCTAAATTATTAATTATACATTAATTAACTTATCCAGACCATAATCAACCCTCGATGTCATCGGTAGCCTGCGATATTTACTGGATTATGATCCGATTTGTTGCTCAACTTTTATTCATGGTTAAATCGTGAACTGGATATTCGAGGCTACGTGTTTTTATCGTACCGACTTTAATAATGACGATCGAGGCTAGGCCGAAAATTCAATCGCAAAATTCTCGGTTCAGAGTGAAATAATTTGACTGAAATTTTCATAAAATCCCCTTTACATTATCTAGTTTTTAATTATTATAGTGAGAACCGGCAGCTCTGTATCTAATCTCCCATAATGCATCTTTAATTTGCCAGTTCGGCAACCAAATCAAATATGCAGTGATATGCAGTGCTATGAGTAGCTGGCTAGATGTGGAAAGGACTTCCCAAAAATTCCCACATCCAACGCATTCTCTCCTTTGCTACGTATTTTAATAGCCTTGTGGTGATTCTTTAATTTATGGTTAGGACGTATCTTTAAAAGACACCCTGACATCCCACGTTGTGAATTTATTCTCCCCTTATTCAGTTTATGATTACACGCAGAAATAACAATGCAACAGTTCGTTTCTGCATTTTATGTCAAGCACTGGATACATAGGTCTCTCAACCCCTTTCCATTTCGCAGAACGAGTTTACCGGCGGATTCCACTACGTCATAATGGCTCTTCTACGACTTAACAGGGCATTCAGAAACCAGATGTTACCCCTTGAACCTCAACGGTCTCTCCCAACGAATTTCTACAAAGTATTTGCTCGCTCAAAAGCTACATGGTTGTCTAACAATCGCCCACAGCTCTGAAGGTTACTATCTATTATTTAATTTGTCAAATATTACGTAATTAATTATGATGATTGGTTACAAAGCCTAATGTCGTCACGAATAAGCCAAATATGGAATGGAAATGCCTCATACCTTGCCTACCAACAGGTGGCATATATGACAAATGTGCTTATTAACCTAAGTTCAATGCATGTATCACATTATGACAGATTTCCGTTGTTTCACGCGCTGTTTTGCTTATACATGAATCTCTTAACAATAATTAGTCAAGGCCATAATATCATTATGTCATATGAAGAGTCCAGGGAAGAACGATCTAAGTCACATTTTTGTCTTTTCGCATAAAAGGCAAAACAGACTTTTGGACGAGAATGCTTGACGCGAACAGAACAACGAGTAGGTTTAAATACAAATTCAAAATGATGTTTAATACGTATCATAATTACCAGTACAACAACTGACTTCCACTTTTGGTCTTCGAAGGAATTTTTAGTGTTTATTTTGTGTTTATATCTGTATAGATATATATATATATACCCACATTCATATCAAATTAACCAGCATGGCCCCGTGAAAGTTTTAGGCCATGCTTTATGAAGGTCAAGGTCAACGACCTTGGGCACCGGGCAGACATGGTGCGAGTATCTAGCTAGTTGTCGAAAAGCAGGGGACTATTAAAATGGGTTCGTCCGTCTGTCCATCTGTCCGTACGTCCGTCTGTCTGTCTGTCTGTCCGCCCGTCACACTTTTTGGACACAGTTCAAACTCGGTGCAGTTGTTTATTAGGTCAATGCCTTGACGGAGTTTGAAGATGAGCATTTTCCGCTTAGGGTAAGCGGAGATAAGCAATTTGATTGGTTGATGCTTTGGGACACGATAACTTTAGTTCTAATTAAGTGTGAGTGATGAAACTTGGTTTATAGTTTTATTACACCAATACCTTGACTAAGTTTGATATTGAGCATTTTCTGCTCAGAGTAAGCAGAGCGATAAGCAATTTGATTGGCCAAGTTCGATTGTGCGAATTTTTCTGCCTGGGCTAAGGAGCCATAAGCAATTTGATTGGTCAAGACTTTGGAACATAAAAACTCTGCTTTTAATTGAGGTACAATGTTTAAACCTGATGTAGATGTTCATTAGGTGAATGTCTTGACTGATTTCAATGATCAACATTTCAAGCTAAAGCTAAGTAGAGCTAATCAATTTCATTGATCGATGCTTTGGGACAAGATAATCTTGATTCTATCTGATAGAGAGTGATGGAACTCAGTGTGTAGTTTGATTGCTCGATACTTTTGAAAAAAAAAATAAATGTGCGATTAATTAATATGTGTCATCTATTTTTGGGGGGATTTCGGCGGGGGACATCAGCCTCACTGTTGGCTTGTTTTCTATAACACAGGGAGATAGTCATCTTGTTTTGTTTTATTTATTTATAACATTTCCTTGATTACAAAAAGTCATAACGTTAAACTGAACAGAATTCATGGAGCTAATCCAGACTTGGTCTTCTTAAACAGACATGGTGAAGTGGTGGAGGTAAGATAAAAAAAATAGTTTCAAATCAGAGTTTGTTTTTTTTTTGTTATTTTTTTGTTTTTGAAGCTATAGAAACGAGAGAGAGAGAGAGAAATGGAGTTTAACGTCCACTCGACACAAACTAGGTCATTTCGGGACTAACATATGGCTTAATTTTATTTCAATAATTCGCTTGCGCGTAGGGGTCTTTAGCAGTGGGAGGAAACCGGAGGACCCGGAGAAAACCCACGAGGTTGGACAGGCGACCCTACTACTTGTCACGTACAACCGGGGATTCGAAACCACACCAGTTGACTCAATGACAGACTTTATGATAAAGCGTGCACACACTAACCATTCAGCCATCCAACCCCCCCTATAGAAACGAAATAAAATGGGGTTTAACGTCCTTATTCTCTGCACCAACTGACCAATGAAGACCGGTATACCTCATTCAATATGCTATGAGGGAAATTTTGCCCTCGCAGCGGCGCAACAGCCTACTCTTTTTTTCGAGTTACATCTGTCAAGGGTTCTTTTACATGTATACGGGATCACGGTTTTTCGCCCCACCCGAACACCTAGACTTTACTGACAAGGAGAAGGGGGACTGGATGGCCCAATGGTTAGCACGTGCGCACTGTATCATAAGGCCTGTCATTGAGTCAACTAGCGTGGTTTCGATTCCCAGGTTGTACGTGACAAGGAGTAGGGTCGCCTGTCCAACCTCGTGTGTTTTCTCCGGGTCCTCCGGTTTCTTCCCACTGCTAAAGACCCCTACGCGTAAGCGAATTATTAAAATAATATTGAATCACGTGTTAGTCCCGAAATGACCAAGTCTGTGTCGAGTGGACGTTAAACCCCATTTCTCTCTCACTCTGACAAGGAGAAACCAGGCTGGATTCGAACTCGAGACCTCCTAGATAGCACGCCGGCATGTTACCCACTGAGCCACCGCGGCGCCCATGAGTTATATAGAAATGTAAATATATCCCACGAACCACTCTAATGGAATCGGGTATACGTAATGCAGCGTGCTATGAGGCACATTTTATCCGGAGGTGAAGTTTCCGCCTACCTTGGGAGATGCTAATTGTAGACCGGTTGGGGAGGTTCGGGTATTTCCGGTGTCAAAAATGGACGCTTTATATAAATGAGAATTTTGGAGAATACTAACCCCAAGTAAGATATTTTTAATGTCGTGGTGTGGTTTAAAATGTCGTATTGTCGGGTTACAATCTGATTAAAATACAGATCTATATTTCGTTTCGTTTTTTTATACTTTCGATGGCCTACATTTGTACATGAAGATCTGGCCGGTTGTTGCGATAGGTCACGTCAGAGGTCATACGAGCGGCTTTTGACCTTATAACGTCAGTCATTTGATTAACCAATCAGCATTGATGTTACTACTGGATTACCCACTGGATTCGCCGTAACGGACCGTTTCATTGGCTAATACCTCACACCATTCCAGATCCTAGTGCAGTAAAGACAAGTAAAACGAAATTTTGAACTATGAAAACGAAACGAAATAGGATCTGTGTTTTAATCAGATTGGCCACCATAGAAATCAGCTTCTGTACATTCAATAAATGTGAAGAATACTTTTATCTTTCTTCAGCGAGTAGACCTAACCCCATATAATCAAAAAGAACTGAACCTTATACTGGTTCGTAAAGGGTTTTATAAACGAACATATTTGGATGAAGAAGTGCCAGAAAGGTTTCAGACAGGACCATACGGGGTCAGACGGAAGCCCAAATTTCAGATTGATATCGACGACGGCCAGGATCTATATGTTGGCCAAGCTAAAGATGTGAAACCACGTCGTGATGAGTTATAAGACACTGAAAGGCCAATTACAAACATTATTTCCGGTGGTCTGTTGTACCGTCTTGTCAAGTTTGTTCCTAGGAAATGAATACTAACAACTCTTCAATCTCCCTAGCTCATTTTCCTAGCTTCAAATGTTATATAAATTATAGTTGAGACATTTATTCATATGACAAGCCCATATACAACTCTCTAAGTCATCGGATGGTTTGGCTATAAATGGATTAAAACAGCTATTGAACGGATAATCTTTATTATTGTAACAGTGGTACATGACAATCGAAACTATCTTGTTAAAACTTCAATTACTCGTAACTACGCTCAGAATAAAGACATGTGATTGAAATGTTCAACATAGTCATTTTTCATACTCATTTTTTTTTTTACTATTATAGCGAGAACCATCAGCTTTTTTAGCTAAATCTTACATAATGCATTTAAAAATACATTATACAAGAGCTAAATATGCCTATAGCAGGTATTTCTTTAGGCCTGAAATGTTACCTAAATTATTAATTAGACATTCATTAACTTATTCAAGCCATAACCAACCCTCGATGTCATCTTATGTGTCGGATGATTGATGATTAAATCCAAAAGTGGATAATCGAGACTATGTTTTTTATCGTACCGACTTCAGTAATGATGATCGAGGCTAGGCTTAAAATTCAAAAGCTAATATCTCGGTTCAGAGTGGAGAAATTTGACCGAAATTTTCAGCATATACTATTTATGTTATCTATTATAGTCAATCCTTTATCAAATCTCCCATAATGCCCCTTTAATAAGACCACTCGGCAAACCTCGACAGATTCTACGCAACTAATCTCGGCTGTATGACGAATTCCGCCATATTGGAACGATTTTAAAGGTCCCGGATGAAAAATGGCTGCGCCCATGGAGATTTCTGTGGAGAGTGTATTATATCAACAAACGTCAAGTTTGGCATTGGGTTTGGGGAATTACCAGGGAATTATATCAAACCAGCAGCCTTGAGACAATATCTCTGCTCGTTTAGTTATATACACTCGACAAAAGACGCCATTTTGGGACTTTTTTGTAAAAGCGTCACGTTTCCTGTTAAAGTAAACCGGTAGCTGCATCGCAAATGTATGGGCGTAGGTACATATCAATTACTATCATACAGCCGAGGTTAGATGTAGGGTACCGAAATCTGCCGAGGTTTGCCGAGTGGTAATCAGACATGACATGGGTTTGACGTCGTATGTTTTTGCAATAAAAGGGCCGGGTTGGGGAATCAAGAGGAACATATACACCATGTAGGAAAATTTTGCCAAGACAGCGGCAAGGGTTCTGTAACTCGCACAACAAGTTGTACTGATGCTGGAAGATGCCGATAAACATAAGGACTTATCCAAGCAGACATTTCGTTCGATCGGTGTTCTTAAAAAAATGTAAGTTTTCTCCCCTTAACCGTAGATCAGCAAATTAAATCACTGCCATATATTCACAGGCGTATTTGATCGATTCTAAATAATAAAACCACCTGCAAATTTCATCAAGGTCACGAGATGGAAACAGGGCTAGCGTTAACCCTAAGCCTAGCCTTAACCCTAACCCGCAATCCTCGGCAACAATCACGTGCCCTAACCCTAGTTACATCTCGTGACCTTGATGAAATCTGCAGGTGGCCTTAATATTTAATACAACACAATTAATTTATAGGCCACCCATTACATAGCTATGAATACCTACCTGTATGGCGTAGTTACCGGTGAACAAGGTGGCGTCCAGTAAACACTCCTATTCGATTTGTTTGTGGGATTTTCACAAGTTTAACTGTCCCATTTGTCGCAATTTGATTGATTAAAATACAGATCTATATTTCGTTTCGTTTTTTTCATACTTTCGATGGCCTACACTACATGATAATCTGACAAATTATAGCGATAGGTCACGGCAGGGGTCAAAAGACCGACTTATGCCCCTTTTGACGTCAAACATTTGATTAACCAATCAGCATTGATGTTACCAGTGGATTACCCACAGTTCCGTGAAAAACACGCCTAAAGCTCGCCGTAACAGACCGTTTCATTGGCTTATCCCTGACACCATTCAGAACACAAGTTAAATAACAAATCTTTCAGATCCAAGTGTAGTAAAAACAAGTAAAATGAAATTTTGAACTATAAAAACGAAACGAAATAGGATCTGTGTTTTAACCAGATTGTATTTGTCGCATTTGCTACAAATGTCATCCGATTGGTCACGAAACTCACACCAAAGCTGACATGGACGAGATCGATGTAGAAACGAAAGAGAAACTGAAGACAGTCAAACAGAAATTAGAAAGATTGACAAAATACACACATTTAGTCATAGGCCTACTTTAACCCAGCAAATAACCGACATCTACAATTCAGCTGCTAGAGACTATGGCAGTGATTCTCAGCCAATGTGCCGCGAGATCTTCTTAAGTGTGCCTCGAAATGCGAAAATCCACGTGATCCTAATTGAATATTCACTGGTGTCTACTAGTAAGTTCATTATATATTATATAGTCTGTGTCTACGGTTGTATCCCGTCTATGTGACATGTTTTTATTTTGCAAAATTCAAATATTTTTTATATATATATTTAGCCAGGTGTGCTGCTATTTGTTCATGTGTTGCAAGGTGTGCCGTAAGCAAAAACAGGTTGAGAACCACTGATCTGTGGTGATGTTCATAAATTACCTGTTTCACACTCTCTCCATGTTGTTTGGCTGTCCATGGGCCCATAGAAAGTTGGAATACAGAATTTATATAAATGTTTGAGGAAATATATACTTAACTCGAGAGTTCAACGAATTTAAACACAATGGGCGTCCTCGCTGAAGAAATTCTCACCAGGCGTCGCTAGTAAAAACTCGATTCCACGTGACCTTATCGATGGTAAGAGACCCGTATCGGGATTAAATTCAATATTAACGACCAAAACTAACGTTTGTCAACACACCAGTTTGTAATGAATGTACAGGAAAACAATGCTGTAAGGTAAACAATGAGGTAACGTGGGACCGCCTCACCTATAAATTATGTCCCTTTACCTCTAGCGAGGACGCTCATTGGCGGTTAGCGATTTAATTTAAAGGAGCTAAATCGCTAATATTTGGGACCTAGAAATTGACAAAAATAGGTCGCAACGAATATAATAATGTAATATGAATGTATATAAACTGATTTACATTCAATTGTTTCTGTTTTACTGTAATTTCTAATCAGTTATGTTCGGCGAAATACGCCAGAAGTCTCATGTGAATGGGAATCTTTAGCGTCTGGTTTTTCCAGTCTACACTGATGGTATTTATTGCGCATGCTCTCCAGATAAGAATATAGCGTCACCATTTGACGTGACTTGTGGAATATGTCTACCCTTGTTCTTTGAGTCCCTTGTTCCAAATGGCGCTGAAACACAATATGGTACACGATTCGTGTACCAGTGGTAAAATGTTTATTTTGTCTTGAATATTGGATATCAGAAGCCCATCTTTTCCCTGTAAGATCACAAGACCAATGTTGATTTGAATTGACAAATAATTCGTGTTTTCATTGTCGAAGATTTTTGATGATATTGAGTTAGAGATTTAGCTAATTTAAATAAAGATAATCAAGACTTTGTATACCAACGTAACGGTAGCAGTAAAAATCGAGACTCTGCTATTCTCCTATTAACACTAACGTCGTTCAGAAAGAAGTAAATTGACTAAAATTTTCAAGATATTCCCTTTTTATTATCTAGATTTTAACTATTATAGCAAGAACTATCAGCTCCTTGTCTAATCTTACATAATCCATCTTTAAAAACTACGATGGCTCAGTTCTTTTCAGTATTTACAGAGATATGGCGCATTAAAAATTCGGCATCATCTGCAGACGACATAAACGCGATATTGCCAAAACACGCCAGCGCCACCTGTAATATTTACTGAAAACATTTGATGGGCCTCTTTTTAATTCCATCCTGGGGATCATCTAGTGTTGATATTTCGTTTTCTTCTCTCGACTAAACGTTAATCAATTTTAGTATAGATTGATTGATCCGTAAAATATTAGATATTTTCCGAATGCAAATGACACACATGGTTGTGATGCACATGATCCAATGAATCGCCATTACTATCTACCTAAAAGATCATGCAACTTATAAAACACTTTTAATGGCCAAGCGCAGAGTTTGTTTTTAACCTTTTCTGACCATATTTCTATCATTTGTTCTTTTCTATAGGGATGTCCAGAAATTTGATTTTCAAACCAACAAATATCAACTAATGGTTTTCTAGAAGTGAATCCTCGGTGATGAACCAATTTAACTGCAGCACGCTCCCTTACTATACCATTAATAAAAACATCTTCTAGATAATTGTATTTTGTCTTTAAAGCGACACTGAGTAATTTCCTTGTTGTATTTCCGGATAAAACGTAGGCCGGCCCAGATACATAATCCGGATAATGCGCTAATGGATAAGTAATCTCGTCCACGTACCACTTTGATTTTGGGTTTCGATAAGGCGTCCCGGACTTTACAGCATGCCCCATAACCATATTTCTCCCACCGTTGTTTCGTAAATCTTCGATCAAGGCCGGTAGGTTTATAAAGACATCCACATCAACCTTTAGTATATATTTTACACCCTGACAAAATGTGCTGGCGAAACGAAGAATGGCTTCCGATTTAATACTGAGATTACGGTAACTATCGTAAAAATCCTCTTGAATAATATCGTGGTAGTTTTCACTTTCAGTCTTTAAATCATGATGGTTTATCACCGGAAGATATCCGAGCATAAAAACCAAACGTATTTCTGTATTATTAACAGCTAACGACCCCCAGGTCTTTCTTATAACCTCTCTTTCTTCAAACTCAGACGTTCTTGAAGGAACTGCTATTAATAGAAATATTTTGTCTGGAAAAGGTTTACAAATCTCCGATTCACTGATGAGGTATTTATAGCTGTGGGTTCGAGTGTCATCAAAAAAGTGTTTGAACATGTCGGGACCGGAGATGACATAATATTGTCTCCAAATCAAAATCAAAATAAACACAAAGATTGACGCTATTATCGTCTGTTTTTTTGTAGGCTTCAGCTTAAACATATCACACTATTGACCTGTAAAAAACCCCGATGAATTAAGATTAGATATTGGCTGGGATGTGAAAGCATCACTGATTAGATCACCGATTAGATATTGGTTGGGAGATGAAAGCATCGCTGATTAGATATTGGTTGGGATGTGAAAGCATCACTGATTAGATATTGGTTGAGATGTGAAAGCATCACTGATAAGATATTGTTATCCATCTCATTAACCGCTTCATCCCTGCAACGCCAGCAACAGCTCTCGGACATCGTATCAGTCGACAGACAGTATCACGACGACTGTGAGAGCAGGGGATTACCTTACCGCGGGGTATTACTGACTCAACAACACCAGCGTAACAGGCTCCAGTGGGCCAAAGTTGACTAGTCCGAGACTGACCACCTCTCCTCTTTTCAGATGAGAGTAGATTCTGCTTGTACAGAGCTGAAGGCTGTCAACGAGTATACAGACGTGCTGGGGAACGTTTATCTCCTAGCTGTGTACAGGAAGTTTCGGCGTATTGCGGAGGCAGTGTTATGTTGTTATGTGGCGAACTGAAAACAAGGCTAATCATCATTCATGGCAACCTCAATGCGCAGAGGTATATTGTTTTATTACATCAATACCTTTTTAAGTTCGATAATGAGCCTTTTCTGATCAGGGTAAGCAGAGCAATTTGACTGGCCAAGACTTTAGAACGAAACAACCCTGCTTTCAATTGAGGTAGAATATTTAAACTTGATGTTCATTAGGTGAATGTCTTGAATTTCCCGCTAAAGTTAAGCAGAGCTAATCAATTTGTTTGACTATCAGCCCCACTGTTGGCTTGTTTATTACGTATCTCGTTGCCGATTTTCCAATATTTTGTACACGACAAGATAAGCCCAATGGTGTATACACCGGCAACGATCGAGATACTTAAAAAAGAAGTCGGAAAAAAAAATAGCGCGATTTATGTATTTGGTATACATGTATTTATCTTGTTGATAATCTGCATTCTGCACACATGAAGCTATCTACTCTAGAGCTAAATCTATTTGTTAAGGCCAGCTCAATTTTTTGTCAAGATCGCGGAGATGTAAATAAGGTTAGGGCACGTGATTATTAGCTTCATTGTAGGTTAAGGTTAGGATAAGCATTGGGGCTCGGTCCAAGGTTAGGGTTAGGGTTGGGATTAGCGCTAGCCCTGTTTACATCTCGTGACCTATAATGAAAAATTGAGCTGGCCTTATCATTTAGCACTAACCATGTCCGCCATTTACATTCACACAAATGGTCAATAGATCATAGAATTATTTGGCACAAATCTACACAACAAAACCCGTGAATTTTGGGGCCATTGACTGCAGCCCATGCAGTCAGTCCCCCTTAGTCTAGGAGATATACTATAAACAAAGCCAGAATCTCAAATTGCAAAAGAAATGTTTTTACCGTTAATGTATTGTTTGGACTTTGGTATTTCGCCAGCGATCTTTTGACCTATAATGCAATTTATCACCTGTCTCGAACAGTCTGACGTTATATATAAACCCCATTTCACTTCATATCTGTCTAAAATTTGAAGATACGATATTAATCAACTACGGAAGCCCGTCGAGGCCTTAGTTTAATGACATATTTGTTTTACCTATATATCATAAACGGCATGTTCTAACGACGGCGATTTGTTATATATTTTAGCTACATCCGTACAGAGTTGAACACATACTGGTCAGCAGTGAATATTCGCTAGGCCGCGGCAATCACTGATAAGGATGACATCGATGCGACTTAATGAGCCACAAATATTAACTTTTTTTCTCCGACAAATAGAAAAATAGATAAAGACGTTTGACGTATTTGTAGGTAAAAATTATTTCCTATTTAGTGTAAATGGTACTTTTCAAGAGATCTGGAAATGTACATTAAAACACAGTAAATCAGAGACATGTTTAGATATTAGTTTATTCTTAATCTTCATCAGAAGATTCAAAATCAAAGTTCATAATATGAGCGGGATAGATATCTTCTGGATGGCTAATCAACAGCCTTGTATCGCAGGATCATCTTGTTGAATCATTGGTTTTGCAGTCTGTCTCCATATTGTTGCAACATAATTGTTGCGTTTAATGTGCAGCAAAAGACTACTTGATATTTTTCATCACAATTAAAATTCCTCCAGAAAATCTTTCTTCTAGTGTCATCTGCTCACGTAAGTCGCCTTTCGCCGTACATGGTACAAACATTTGTTTCTAAACCAGCAATTACGTCACCAGAAACATCATTTGTCTGTCCCAGCTCTTTAAAATTGTTAGAAAGTTGGAAAAAGAAAGACAGATAGTCATTACCACAGAAAGCACGTAGGCCGAGATATTCTTGACACTTCAATACTAATCTTGATTGGATAAAAATAAATATATCAAGATTAGTATTGAAAGTGTCGAGAATATCCTAGAACTGACAACAAACCACGAGGACACCAAAACAGCTTATCTACTTCTCTTCGCATTGCAAATTAATGGAGACGCTGAAAAAAAAATGTATTTTGCGTTCTTTCTTGGACGAAATAGACATCCCAATCATTCTCCTCGCAAACAATGATAAAAATATACACATTCTGGTCGATAATGAAACGGGCAAAGGTAGAAAATATCGCGGAAGGCGACATACATCAGTAGATGACGCTAGAAGAAAGATTTTCTGGGTGAAAAAAATAACAGGCCTTTCTTTATTACCACCTTGCCGTAGTGGTCTTTTGCTGGAATGAAGATTTATAGAATGTGAATTGGTATCTAAAGCATATGCAAAGGATTATGCGAGCTGTTGGTCAGCAACCAAAAAGATATTTATCCCACTCATATTATGACCCCTGATTTTGAATCTTCTGATGAAGACTAAGAATAAACTAATATCTAAACATGTCTCTGATTTACTGTGTTTTTGATTTACATTTACAGATCTCTTGAGAAGTACCTTTATAATTTAATATATTGAATGACAAAATAGGTACTGAACGAAAAGGTTAACGAGAAACCACTTTTAAACTTGTAAGGTCAATTTTGAACCAAACGATTTCTGTCCACAAAAACACACGTTGCCCCCTCCCCCTTCGGGCACCCACCCCCACACAATGGGAATCTTATAAACATATTTACAGATGTTTCATTTGCAAGCTCTAAGAAAATCATCATTTAAATCGACGTGAGCTCATTTCCTGCCAATTTTACCCCCCGCCCCCACTCCTCACACGCAAACCTGCAACCATCCCACCCCACTTCGCCACAAATCAACAAAACGGTTGTCCAGGGGCATCATACACACTCCTTTACAGATGGACAGTCCTAGAAATTTATGTTTTATTAATATATAACATGATAATCATTTATGTCAACATAATGACATTGCCCCCGCCCCCATTGTAGACATTGGACCCCCATATATCTTGAAAACGCCCCCTCAAACGCCTGATCACCACCCAGATTCGGAATCTACGCAAAAAACTAGTCTAGAAAAACTTGATCTCATAAATTCACAGCTCGGGTGGCGATTCCCCCCCCCCCCCCTTCAGCCACCGGACTATAGAATTTATATAAAGATCCAATACTGTAAACGATGGTTGCCCTAAAGGAACATAAAATCCGAAAATGGCTCAGCTCTTTTCAGTATTTACAAAGATATCATGCAATATGTTAGAGCTAAATTTGCCTATTGCAAGTCTTGCTTTAGGCCTTAAATGGTATATAAACTATTAAATCGACATTTATTAACTTGCCAAAGCTACAATCAACTCTCGATGCCATCGGATACTCGAGATTTTCAACGGATTTAAACACAATTGGCGCTTAATAATTTTTTTTTTTTTTTAAAAAGGATAATAAAACTTTGTTTACTATGGTAACAACTCCGCTGTTCTGCAAACAGTCCTAACGTCGCCCAGAAAGAGAGAGGGGGAAAAATGGGGTTTAACGACACAAACTAGGTCATTTCGGGACTAACATATGGTTCAATTTTATTTCCATAATTCGCTTGCGCGTAAGGGTCTTTAGCAGTGGGAGGAAACCGGAGGACCCGAAGAAAACCCACGAGGTTGGACAGGCGACCCTACTCCTTGTCATGTACAACCGGGGATTCGAAACCACGCCAGTTGACTCAATGGCAGACTTTATGATACAGCACGCGCGTGCTAACCATTCAGCCACCCAACCCCAAAGAAAGAAGCAATATGATTGCAGTTTTCATTATCTCGTTTTTAACTATTTTAACAAGAACTGCCAGTTCTTTATCTTAATCTTATAAAACACATCTTTAAAAACCACAATACTGTGAAAGTTGGTTGTCCTAAAGGAACATAAGAGTCCGAAAATGGCTCAGTTTTTTATCAGTATTCGGTATCTCATGTAGACGATATATCGCGATATAGTCAAAACAAACCAGCGCCACCTGTAATCTTTACTTTTTAATCCTTGAATTCCAGCCTGGGGATCATCTAGTGTTTTCTTATCTCGACTAAACGTTAATTAATTTCAGTATTGATCGATTGATCTGTAAAATATTAGATATTTTCCGAATGCAAATGACGACAAAATGGGGGTTATGCAAAGCACATGATCCAATGAATCGCCATCACCATCACCTTAAAAGATCATGCAACTTATAAAACACTTTTATTAACCATGTGCAGATTTTGTTTTGAATTTTTTCTGACCACATGTGTATTATTTGTTCTTTTGTATAGGGATGTCCAGAAATGTGATTTTCAAACCAACAAATATCAACAAATGGATCCCAGGCAGCGACCCCTGAATGGAATCCTCGATGGTGAACAAATTTAACTGCAGCACGTTCCCTTACTATACCATTAATAAAAACATCTTCTAGATAATTGTATTTTGTCTTTAGAGCGACACTGAGTAATTTGCTTGTTATATCTCCGGATAAAACATAGGCCGGTCCAGATACATAATTTGGATAACGCTCTAATGGATAAGTAATATCGTCCACGTACCACTTTGACTTTGGGTTTCGATTGGGCTTCGTGAACAGAAGGTCGTGTCCCATAATCATATTTCTCCCGTCATGTTTACGTAAATCCTCGATCAAGGCGGGTAGGTTTATAAAGACATCCACATCAACTTTTAGTATATATTTTACACCTGGACAAAATGTGCTGGCGAAACGAAGAATGGCTTCAGATTTAATACTGAGATTATGGTAACTATCGTAAAAATCCTCTTGAATAATATCGTGGTAGTTTTCACTTTCAGTCTTTAAATCATGATGGTTGATCTCTGCACGATATCCAAGCATAAAAACCAAACGTATTTCTGTATTATTCACAGCTAACGACCCCCATGTCTGTCTTATAGCCTTTCTTTCTTCAAACTCAGACGTTCTTGAAGGAACTGCTATTAATAGAAATATTTTTTCTGGAAAAGGTTTACAAATCTCCGATTCACTGATGAGGTATTTATAGCTGTGGGTTCGAGTGTCATCAAAAAAGTGTTTGAACAAGTCGAGACCGGGGATGACATAATACTGTCTCCAAATCAAAATCAAAATAAAAACAAAGATTGACGCTATTATCGTCTGTTTTTTTGTATGCTTCAGCTTAAACATATCACACTATTGACCTGTAAATAAAACGATGAATTAAGATTAGATATTGGCTGGGATGTGAAAGCATCACTGATTAGATATTGGCTGGGATGCGAAAGCATCACTGATTAGATATTGGCTGGGATGTGAAAGCATCACTGATTAGATATTGGTTGGGGTGTGAAAGCATCACTGATTAGATATTGGTTGGGATGCGAAAGCATCAGCATCACTGATTAGATATTGGTTGGTATGTCACAGTATCACTGAATAGACCATAGACCGAATTTTCAGAATCAGAATGAATCAATCATTAACTAAAACGAGTTTTCCACAAAGCTCCACTTAACCATTATAGTATTCAAAATGTAAACCGCGAGCGATTTCATTTACAATTATACTTCTATAAAATATGGTCTCCTTCTGAGATATTTGTGTCCGAAAAACGCAATTTCATCGCCCGAAAAATGACACACCCCAGCTCCTACGCCTATGGATTAAACATTGGTTGGAATTTCACAACCCCACTGATCAGATATTGTGATGTTCAACATTAAAAAGTCTCGCCCCGACTTTGATAATCTATATTATAGATCACACTTATTATATATAAATAAGGTAAGCTTGTCAAACCTCGCGTGTTTTCTCCGGATCCTCCCACTGCTAAAGACCCCTACGCGCAGGCGAATTATTGAAATAAAATTAAACCATGTGTTAGTCCCGAAACGCCTATGTATACACCGGGCCTCGATTATCACTAGACAGGTGTCCGTGTCAGACCCTTATAGGGCGTATACGATGGACCTATAATGAAAATTGTTATACATGTACTTTTTTTTTCATCAATGGCCTTGCTCCACCGTTTCGTCGGCATATATAACTCATCAATAAACAACTTTTTGTTACATGACAATAAAAAATTCTCCCTCAATAAAAAATTACCTCATCGTCTGTCCTAAATCTGCTGCCTCTGAGGACAGGTTTGAGTTGTGGGGAGAGGGGGGGGGGCTAGATCTGGAGAAAAGGCCGGCTGAGGGAGAGTCTTAAAGCCAGAGCCTTGTGCAGTGCTCACTGCTATTTGGGCGGTATGAACTGGGGCATTGTCCTGGAGCAGCAAAACACCTCGGCGAAGGTTACCTAGGTGCTTTTCTTTGATTTGATAACGAAACATGTGCATTTCATATGCGTAATATGCACCATTTATGGTGGACCCCTTCTTTAAATAAGATTATCATAGCATATTTATAGAGCACTCTTTCACATCACGTGTTCCGGGGTACTTTACAAAGTAAAAATACAATCATAAAACCAAAATTATGGACTTGTTGAAGATTGTATACAGAGTCGGTTAAAAGTTTGTTTAAAGATACATTCCCGTGTACAAACTGGGTGATTTGATGATATATTTGGACTAAAAACATATTCAAACTAATTAATTTATCATAAATTTGCTTCAAATCCTTCTCAAAACATTGTAATTGTCAAGGAATACCCTTCCTATAAAAAAATCAATCAAAAGAGGTCATGTTTGTGTCACATCAATTACGGGTGCGAAGTCGGAGGAGAATTCATTGCATACACAAGACGATGTTGTCTTTAATCGCTGACTATTTATTACAAATAACAAATACAAATTAAATTCTCGGATTATCCACTGCTCGCGTCTTTTTCCGTGATTTTTATCTCAGAAAGTGCTGACGTCTAACTCTTCGTTAAGTTTATCAACATGTACAGCAAGCGCTCAATCTCCGCGTGCAACCTTTGACGTCACGCGTGCAGATATTCCTAATCGTCGGGCTGTCGATTAGGGGAACCCTGACATTTTTGTCCTGTATACGCTCCCTGGGTGTTTTTCAGGGAATCCAGTATTGTTCTAGTAAGATTGGATATCTCTACTTTCCATATACAGTATACCAAAATTGCCATAATTTTATTGGAAATAACCACCCGATAAATACTTTTCTGGGAACCTATCTTTAAGTAAATGTGTTTTAAATTGCTCGTAAAAGAATATACAGATGTACATTATCTTAAACTAAGAGGTATATTATTCCATAAAACTAAAAGAGCGCTGACCGTATGAGACTAGTTGAATAGATTTGGGCTTTAAGAGTAGGTTTTTTCTGATGTAGGTAATGTTTGACCAGGAATGTAAAGTTCTAAAAGATCTGAGAGGAAATGAAATGAAATGAAATGGGGTTTAACGTCCTACTGTTCTGCTCCTATACTGGGCTAATGAAGACGGGCATACGCCATACAGTGTGCTATGAGGGAAATTTTGCCCGGGCAGCGGCACCATCGCTTACTCTTATATCGAATTCCAACTGCCAGGGGATCTTTTACGTGCATTCCAATATATACACGGGACCTCGGTTTTTCGTCTCATCCGAAGGACTAGACAGCTGTCCTTGTCAGGCCCTCCGTCCTGCATCACTGACAAGGGGGAACCACGCCGGAAAATCTGGATGAACTTTCTCGGCCAATGCAGGGATCGAACACCCGACCTCCAGGCTAGCGAGCAAGCGTCTTACCCACTTAGCCACGTGATCCCCAGATCTGAGAGGTAAACATGGGTTAAATTATTTAAACACGTAAAAGTACGTAATAAAATTATAAAATCAATTCCATATTTAACAGGTAACCAGTGTAAATTATATAAAACAGGAGTTATGTTGTCACATTCTTAATTCGTCTATAAGGTTTAAAGGTAAACCAACTAAAAGTGAATTAAAATGATCTAAAAGTGATGTGACCAGAAAATTAACGAGTGACTTAGTGGCCTCTACAGTTAAAAATTGACATATTTTTTACCAATATTTCTGATATTAAAATAGCACATTTTACAAATATTATTTACCTGAGCTCCCATAAGCATGAAACTGTCGAAAATTGCGCCAACATTACTAGCAGAATAAGCCGAAAAACTATTACATTTACAAATTACCACACGGTTATCAAATAGAAAATTACTAATTGTTGCCTTGAGTCTAATAACAAATATTCGGTTTATGATCATCAATCAATTTTAGAAAGTTCTTTGACACCCACTTTCTAATTTCACTAATACTGTTCTCAAGTTACAGTTTTGATACATATAAAGAGCGAGAGAGAGAGAGAGAGAGAGAGAGAGAGAGAGAGAGTGGGGGAATAACGTCCACTCCGACACGAACTAGGTCATTTCGGGACTAACACATGGTTCAATTTTATTTCAATAATTGGCTTGCGCGTGGGGGGGCTTTAGCAGTAGGAGGAAACCGGAGGACCTGGAGAAAACCCAAGAAGTTGGACAGGCGACCCTACTCCTTGTCACGTACAACCGGGGAATCGGAACCACGCCAGCTGACTCAATGACTGACCTTATGATACACCGAGCACGTACTAATCATTCGGCCATCCAACCCCTCTAAATTTAAAGAAGATGGACTATTAAATATATAATTGAGTATCATTTGCATACAGATTTAAGCTTAGACCGTATTTTCTAATATCACCTAATGGTGACGTATAGAGGTGTAAATACAATCTTACCTAGAACAGAACCTCGAGGAACCCCAGATGATAAAACAGATTCAGGCGACGATTAACAATTAATTTAATTACACTGTTTTTCACCAACAAGATAGCTTTCTAAAATAATAAATGCAAAGCCACAAATATCGAATCTAAAATATAACCGTAATAGGGTAGAGGGATCCACCTAGTCGAAAGCGACAGGTAAAAATGTAATAAAATTAAAATAAATGTGCCGAAAGCGACAGGTAAATGTAATAAAGTTAAAATAGATTGCGGTCACACACACATACATATATATATACAATATATATATATATATTATCGTTCGGTGTTATTTTTATATTTTATACATGACGTGACTTTTAAATTTTTTAATAACCATAAGCCTTTTATAAAGAGTGTTTCACGTTTCACTGAGTGTCCTTTTCTCAAGATAAATCTAGAAATATCAGATAAATCTATACATAGAATGACCCCGTGCTGCACAGGCATACGAGCTTGATGAATTTTCGGCAGCAAACAAGGTTTCTTGCTAGACCAGCCCATGAATACAGATACTTCAATGTGGTCCAGTATAGCCTACCTTAGGTGACTTACCTTATTCCCAATTCCCAAACAACCAATCAATCGTCGCGGGGTATGGGGGCCTCGCGCTCCCCGCGACAAAGTTCAAAATTGAAAGGCACGAAATGCGTTTTTCTGCTATTCTAGCCCGTGATTTAAGCAACTTCAATCTGTTTTCAACCGAAATCCCACTCTATGCCGACCTGAATTCCAACCATCCTATCAGACTGTTGCAGCTGCATTCATAAATAATAATCGATGCTCGAAAAATGTTGCACAAAGTAGAGTGATTCCAGATAAAATGCTTTAAAATACAGATGTGACGTCACCCTTTGATGTTGGCGTACCATTATTTCAAATAATCGTACGGGCAACTTGCCAATAGTACTTTATTCATACCAGTGAGATATTGGACTAGTGTGACGTAAAAGCTCGTGCGGAGTGTCAGTATTTTAAGATGTTTAATGGTCTCGAGCTTACGACATTGCGTAATATATTGTAAAAACATTCGGGCCTACGGCCCTCATGTTGTTACAATATATTACTTAATGTCTCGCTCTCGACCATTAAACAATACTTAATCCATAGTAAATTCAGTACAAATTCGTGGTATTCAATTAAAAGAAAAATAAAATTAGTGTATTATTAGATTTCGGGCAATTTATTTTGCCAACTAGATGAAATGTTAATTTTTGTTTTCACTTTACCCGTCTGCCCAAAAAATAAGATTACCCGAAAGTTATGGGGCACCCGCACCCGCCTCGTCCCCCTGGCTCGTACGTCTATCGTTGCGAGGGGTCACGATTAGTTGGTTAACTGATCGATGAACAGTCGTTCCTTTTTCAACCCCATCTCACTTCCGTTGTATCTATGACAGATTAGGCAATTACAAAATAAACAAACAAACAAACCCCGACGAGATAGAGTTTTTCTCACACTCTTTC